CTCCAGGTAGGACTTTTTTGTCCATATAGCACACGTCAATTCCGAAGCGACACAGATTCGACTTTGTTTCTAATTTAGATTATTTGCCACTTTTTGGCAAGTCTGACCACTGCTCACTTTTATCTTCCCTTCAGTTCAATATAAATAGTCGTTCTACAACCGATAAGTTTAAAACCATCAAAATTGTAAACCACGATGCTCTGAACCAAGCTCTGTCTGAAGTCAACTGGCCTGCTTTGCTTAACAACCGTAGCACCCAAGATATGTGGGACACTTTCGCTCAACGAGTCCTAAGCGAAACGGCTGACAATACTGTTGAAAAGAAGGTATACTGTGACCCCTCAAAGCCCTGGATCAACTCTAACATATCGAGGATGCTTGGTCACAAGAGATCTTTGTGGCAACGGTTTAGGAGGAGTGGCCATTCACAAGATTACCTGTCTCATCGATCCTTTTATAACCTCCTATCTAGAACGTTACATAATGCCAAACATGCTTATGAACGAAAACTCGTTACCTCCAAAAATAAGAAGAAGCTGTTTTGGTATCTAAGAACAAACCTGAATTCCAAAGTTTCTTCACCTCAGATCCGCGACGCTGACGGTCATCTCCACATGGATGCCACCGAATCTGCCAACTTACTGGCAGAGTCCTTTAGTGATGACTTCGTCGATGAGCCTAATGGAGACCTTCTACCGACCACTATCTGCCATAGGTGTCCCAACAGCCTTTGCGAAGTTGAGTTCCTGCCTGAAGATGTATTAATGCACCTGCGAAATCTGAAGACCTCTTCCTCCACTGGTAAAGATGGGATGACGGCTGCTGTACTTAAAAACTGCGCTTCAGCACTGGCTCTACCATTAAGCTTGATATTCACATCGTCTTTTAGATCTCATACCCTACCCTCATGCTGGCTTAGTGCTTCTGTTACTCCTGTATTCAAAAAGGGCGACAAATCCTCCGCTAAAAATTATCGACCAATAAGTCTCGTTCCTATCGCCGCCAAAATAGCTGAAAGAATCATATTAGATAAGCTCCTGTCACTTGCTTTCGAAAATGACCTTATCCCTAAGAATCAGCATGGATTTCTCCCTGGTCGATCAATAATGACCAACCTTCTCCACTCTCTCAACGATTTGACTCAGTATCTGGACACAAAGGCTCCTGTTGATATAATCTACTTAGATTTTTCTAGGGCTTTCGATCGCGTACCACATAGAAGGCTTCTGTTTAAGTTGGAATGTATGGGAATAAGAGGCGAGTTGTTACTGTGGATTAAGGCTTTTCTCACCGGGAAGACTTTCTCTGTGCGCGTCAGTGATAGCCAGTCTCACCTTCATCATGTAGCAAGTGGAGTTCCTCAAGGCTCTGTCTTGGGGCCAGTGCTGTTCCTTCTGTATACAAGTGACCTGCCCGCATTGATTCCCTCCACATGTTCAGCTTATGCCGACGACACCAAGATTTACAATACTGTCGTAAATTCTACTATGCTTCAACGAGATCTTGATATTGTCTGTCAATGGTCAGTCAGTTGGCTTTTACCCTTAAATCTAACTAAGTGTTGTGTCCTTCACGTCGGGAAGACAAATCCGCGATTTACATACAAGATCTCTGACGACAACATCGAAGCAGTTCCCAGCCACACTGATCTGGGCGTTGTAGTCAACGATCGTCTTTCCTGGTCAGAGCATATTCACCACGTTACATCAAAAGCCAAGAAACTTCTATACATGCTGGAGAGGTCTTTCAAAGGATCCGATGTCAACACTTGCGCCTACATTTACAAGGCATTCGTGAGGCCAATTCTTGAATTCGCTGGCCCGGTATGGGACACTGTGCTTCTGCGCGATAGAAATCTCGTCGAATCAGTACAGCGTCGGGCTACTCGTATCCCTTTTGGAGCACGAAGACCAAGCTATGAAGATCGCCTTGAATTATTCAACCTGGCCTCATTCTCTGAGCGAAGACTTCGTGGCGATCTTATAGTTACGTTCAGGATACTTCATGGTTTGATGGGCACCAACCTCATGCATCTATACCGTCTGTCGCGCAGCAATCTACGCGGACACAGCTTCAAACTGCATAAGGAGCCATTTAAAACAACAGTCCGACAGTGGTTTCTTCCCAACCGCATATTCAACACCTGGAATAGTTTACCTGAAAGTGTGGTTGGTGCTACTTCAGTTAATAGCTTCAAAGTGCAGTATGATAGCTGGAGGAGTGTACAAACTTTATAGCTATGAACTGTCTTTTTTATTTTTTTCTATTTGATGTATTTGTGTTACGTGTCCGTACACTATATTTACTGCATGAGCTTATAGTACTGTGTACTCTGCTCATCTCAATTATCATAATAATAATAATAATAACTGCCGATCTTTTTCCAATGAAGCAGCACTAGAAACTATTTTTATTTTGCTGCAGCGACCAAAACTTGAATGTGTTCCCCTTTCGATGCATATTATAATTATAAGTATGTTAGAAAATATACAATGAAAATTTCTCAAATTTTGTACTTACAAAACTGTATATCCAGAAAAAGGGGTCAGTCCGTTTATTGTACAGAGATATTTCAACCTAGAGTCTACAACTGAGACGTTCCATTGCTTTCCTGACATTCCTCCATAAGCTTTTGCACAACACAGTGAATTCACCAGAACTTCTCCATCGGTGGAATTTCTGAATACCGCGTGTAAGTTCGAGAAGGACTCTATCTTTCTACCGTAGCACCTCCCGTATCAACACATTATTTTATTCTCCGCTATATGCAATAATTGTAATTCCATAGCAGACAGTTCTGACATTAATTTTGAATGCATCAGTAAAATGGGGTTCGTATTTGCACAGTGTTGGTTAAGTTACCATTATGTATAAATAAATAAACAAGAGCCAGCAGGCACATTTATGGCTTCGTAGCTGTAGCTACCTGCCGTAGTACTTCAAGATCAGGAATAACTACAAAGAGACAAGTAGTCGTGAGGAAAATTAGTTGAAAAACAAAAGACAATCTTGTGCAAGTCCGCAGTAAAGTAACAAGAGCAGATATAAAAGGATGTGTAACCCGAGAGACGTGCTGAACTATGATCCCCCTAGAACGACCCTTGGATACAGCAGACCAAATATAGCTATTTTTGTTTTATGAGCGTAAAGCATCACCTCGCTGCACGAGAAATACGTAATCTATTTTATGATACAGTTCTATTACTACACATGCATTTTGCACTTAATAGAGATTATGCTAATTTTGGTTAATGCCAAGCTGTAACGACTATAATTAAAGTAAGCTTTACACGGCCCATTCCGTACATTTCTTTTAATATCCTTAATAGGCTCTTACTTTCCATTTCTATTTTTCCTACGCAGACATAGGTAAGTACCGGTATTAATTGGTCTGCTAATACTAAAAAATGCCTGTTTCAAAATTATGGGTTAAGATACGCGTAACATCCATCATTTCACTGAAACATCTGCGATTGCGTGCGTGTTTTACATTCTGAACATTACTCGGTAAGAAATTACAGTTTTTTCTTCTAACGATACCATGCCCGACCAGAAAAAGCTCAGTATTGTTTAGTACTCTCACGGTATCACTCTTAATGCAAATATTGCATTTTGTCATCTGTAGTGTGGCTTTATTATATTTCCATTTCACTTAAGCATTTCCTCAAAGGACAGGCTCGGGACCGTTTCGCAGAACTGGTGTGGTTGACCGCTCCTTTGTTCCTAAGGGAGGTTCTTCTTAGTTCTACAAACCTTGGGCATCAACAAGGAGCTTGAATATTTATAGAACCAATGTCTCTGCGTATACTTCATTGTGAAAAATAGGTTATTTGTAAAATCAAATTATACAGGGTGACTTTGAAGTTGAGTCATTAATTTTCAGATAATGATTGTAGAAGGAAGATAAACCAAAATATGTGTGTAAAAAGAAAAAAAAATTAAAAAAAATTTTTACCTTGTTTTATAAAGTATCCTCCCGACAAGTATTTCAGTGCGGACCTGTATTTGATCGTGAGGTCTTGGAGCACCGGCATGCCGTCCATATGTGAGGTCTTAAGTCAAATAAAAATGTGCCATTTTTTATTTCGTTTGAGCCACGCAACAGATACCACTATCCACTACCGACTGACACTGACTGTATACAACTGAATTAAATAATTGTAAAAACATCGTTCCAAATTCTTTCGCTTTTTTGTTTCCGATGCGATGAACCGATAAGGCGAATTATATGCGTTGTCGCCAAACACGAGCACATAATATTATTATTGAGACAGGGCGGTACTTCCAAAGGGCTATAACTTTGTTACTTTAATTTTACCAGAAAAATGGTAAAGGAAAAAAACATTTCTTTTGATCAGATCTACTCACTGTTAAAATAAATGACTCAACTTCGAAGTCATCCTGTATACAATTCGTTATTCCAATAGATTTTATTTACAAGCACACCCGATAGAAGCACCACGACTAGGCTTACAAATATAAAACGTAGCCGTTCCTTGGTACTTGGCCTTGACGTTCTCGATGACTTTGGAAGCGGCATCCTCCTGAACCAAGGTCACCGTACACCCTCCGAACCCACCGCCTGTCATCCTGCTACCTAGAACTCCCTCCACTTCCATAGCCAACTCGACGAGGGAGTTTAGTTCCTTACAAGACACGTTGTAGTCGTCTCTCAAGGAATTGTGACTCTGGACCATCAGCTCCCCAAATTTCTTGTAATTCGCCTGTTGGAAATAACTGAGATATACTTTACTTTGTTTATCGTATATTAGAGATTTTACTAGTGTACTGTCTTACATGGGATTTACGCTCGCCTTCTACTACTGTAGCCAAGCTGACGGTTTCGATACCACAGAAGTATAGCAAACACTTACGAAGAGTAGTCAAGGAAGTATTTGAAGGACACCCAACTGTAACTGATTTAACCGCGCCTGGATTCCTCCTTTGAATATACTTGAAGTCTGTGAGCATCTATGAATAAAATCTAAAAATGCGTGTACCTTTTTGAGTAGCTCAGCACTTTCCGCAGTTCTTCTTATCTCCCCAATAACATGTCTGGCTCTCTTAACAATTTCTGGATCAGCTCTCATAGAGATCAGCTTATCCACATCTTCCACTTTCGCTCCTCTTAAGCTCTTCAAACCTAACAACTTAGCAGCTTCTTCACACTGCTTTCTTCTGGTGGGATACTCACTACCTTAGACATAATCCCAATATCAAACACAAATTAGAATTTTTCCAATTTCGTAGGAAAAGTTTCAGCCTCATAATAGATGCCGAATGCTATTACACGTAAAACATTATTAGAATTCTGCCAGTTATGATTGCAGAATTCGTAGAAGATACTAACAAAGAGTAGTTATATAAAGAGCATACAGTTAGACAAGGCGAATAAACGTTTAAACTCAACTGTTCTCATTTAATCGGAAATCAAAATACGTAAGAAGTGATTAGTTTTTACCGTACCATATCAGTATGCGATGATGTGGCAAAAAGTTCACTATTCGCTGCCTTACTATAAGGCAGATGACTCCCAAGGCCAATGGGGCCTACTGGCATATAACTACTCACGCCGCGTGCGCCATCCATCCTTGTTTCACTCATATTGCCTAAAAGTCTGCAACCCGCATTGCGCAAGCATGATTTGTGGATTGCAGGCTCATAGGATAATTGTATGAAGTATATTTTTGGAACAAGATGTCACAAAGGAAGTATGACTACGAATGAAGTTCGCATTTAGTTGATTGACGGTGAAACAACAGGAATGTGTACAGATTCAATACTATTTGCATATTCCGATATGTAAGAGGTATATGTTATATAACCAGGAAAGGGTTTGATCGAGTTAGCGAAGCGGAAACAGAGAAGTGTAGATCTAACGATGGTAGCGACTAGCTAGTAGAGACGTACAGTAGAATGGCACTTATGGAATCATGTTGCTGGAAAAATGGATTGAAACCAGAATTAGAAGTGTTGACACAGGCAGAAAGTAACTAATTTATTGGTTGTTGGAGCATGGAATGCCGAGGTTCGAAGGCAAAATGCGTTAAATGCCTAAGAGTATGGCTCGACAGAGGCCTCATAACACATATGGAGCACTACTGATAGGATAAACAAGGTCGTTGCATATAATGTCATCTGAGGGATGTCCCAGTAGTGGCAAATTTTCGTCTTCCTACACTTCTACGTGAGAGGTCTTATAGTTCCGCCATGTTGGAGCCTGAAGGTCCATCGTAGATAGCGTATATTCTTTGAAAGAATATATACGTATTTATTATTGGTCTCAACTACCCAGAGTGTTTTGGTAATTCCATAGTATCTTTGAAAAGATGAACTAATCCACCTTACAAATATATACCTACACCTACCTGTAAGTTCATGTTTGACATTAGAATTGATAATAAGCACAGCGATACTTGGATCAGAAAAGGGGATAGGCGTAGAACTGAGATCTCTGCAATCTATCAGCAAAGCATGACCTGAGCATCCCATCATCGAAATAAACTGGTCCATAATCCCACATGGCATTCCAGGGTATTCGTGCTCCGCTTTTTGACAGGCCAAAGCTTTTTCTGTATCTGTCAGATTGTTCGGTCCAGCAATTGTATCCAGGAACATGTAAGTGGCTACTTCAATTGCAGCGCTACTTGATAAGCCCCCTCCTGGAAAACATTATTTTTACAAAATTTCCGTTTTTGTTCAAAAATGAGTGTGATTACTGCACACTTTTGGCTTCTTTGACTATCATTGCCTTCCAAAGTGACAGCGATGTATCAATAACACTAAAAATACTCATCTTAATGACATTCGTAGAGCGACGAATCTCGTCCATGAAGTGAGAAATGCACTCCATGAATTCCGCAATGAGCAGTGGAGCGGCTTTCTGGCGGGGAAGTATTTCTCTCTGGAAAGTGGCAAAATTGCTCAGAAACGGAAGGCAAGAACAACTACCACATATTCATGGTCCTGGAGGCATAGTTTTTAGAACTGAGGATAAAGTGGAGGTTTTTGCTGTAGCCATGGAAAGGCAGTTATCTCCCAACTATGATCTGGACAATGACTTTGACGAGAAACGACAAATTGTAAGATACTTCAGAGCGAATGTCTATACCAACATCGGTGCTAACATCGGTGACTCCTTTGCAGAAGATTCTTCTACGGAAGACTCTTCAGATGCATCTCAGCATAGCACATCAACGGAATTCTCTGAGATTCCGTTTTGCACACCAGCAGAGCTCCAATGCCACATTAAGGACCTATAGGTGCGTAAAGCACCTGGAGAGGATCAAATCACCAACAAAGCACTGAAGTTGCTTTTGCTCAAGGCTTTGACTTATCTGGTGGCAATAATCAATGCAATGCTCAGAACTCATTACTTTCCTAAGGCGTGGAAGGTCGCTGAAGTCATCATGATCCCAAAGGAGGCAGATTCGATATTACCGTCCCATTAGTCTGCTGTCAGTTTCTCCTAAGCTCGCTGAAAAGGTGATTTATCGTCACCTTGAGCATTTCTGGTCAGATCACCATGTGATTCCTGACGTGCAGTTCAGATTTCGGTCTGAGCATGGTACGGAGCTACCTACAGTTAGACTGGTGGAGCATGTGACCAGGGGGTTCAACCTGAACAAAAGTACTGGTATCTTGCTTTTAGATGTATCAAAGGCATTAGACAATGTGTGGGCCTCTTGTATAAGCTCATCCAAAAGGGTTTTCCATTTTGGCTACTAAAACTGTTGAAATCTTTTCTAGAAATCACCGACGCATGCGCGGCTTGGTGTTTTCTTGCCATGACCCACATGCAGAGACTGCAAATCCTGCAAAACAGAACCCCACGCGCAATTACTAACGCCCCTTGGTACGTGAGACCATTCACAGAGATCTTGATATCTCATATCTAAGGGATTACGTAAAACAACAGGCGCAGCGGCATTACAGTCAAGCGGAATCGCACAGCAACCCTCTGTTGCGTGATTCAGTAGACTACACGGTCGAGTAAGATCGCAAACATTCCAGGCCGCGCCACGCACTGTGATCAAAATCTAAATTGTAAATTCAGACCAGCAAAAATTATTTCAGTATACAAAACCGATCAAAATTATTTTTTGGAGTTACAAAATAATTTGAGTAGTCAAAGCAATAATGCTTAAGCTCTTTCCAATGATTTACTTCTTTTCTTTGCTCTATTTCTTCCTTCCTTTCTTTCCCTTTTCCCCTTAAACATGTTTGGTATCTGGTTAGCCAGACCTGACAGACTAACAGACCGACGAGACTTTTAACTAAGAGCAAAAGGTCCACCGGACCGCTCTGACGAATAATGACGAATAGTACTGAAAATACGAGTTTAATGACACCACTGTAAAAAAATTATGTCAAGTCCACTAGAAGTATGCAACGGATATCCGAACATCTACGAAACTTATTTTTATTGCCACAATCAGCTTGCAGTGAGTAGAATAGAACAGTCAATGCTTCTTAGGTAAAACTACATCATAGATACAGTGGAATGACATATAAAATAGTTTTTAAGCTAGTGAAGGCTTGATATCAAAGTGTATATGCCCTTCTCTATTTAAAGTAGCTTTTTTTCTGTTTCAAATAAAACAAGTTCCGCTTTTTAAAAAGTTAGAAATATCTGAGAAATCCAAATGCTGAACACCCCGTTAGACAAACTTTGAATTACAAAATTTAAAAATTTTATGGATCAAGCTGTACCTACTCATTTATTTTAGTATCTGATGTGGAGCTAGCAATCGACGCTTGGTTAAAGGGATCGCCGCACAGCCACACAAAAAAAGTTTGACAATACAAGAGATTAAGTTGTTATTACTTTTTATTACCACTAAACACCTTACGAACATATTATAAAGACGTCTTTGAGACGCTCAGTTTCCTAACACACATCATTGCAACGTCTTTGCGATATCGTACGGAGTTCGCTAGATGTCTCGAGGACGACGACGTCTCCAATATTCCAAAACAACGTTTTCAAAGCGTCTTAAAGGTATAATTGCCCTTTTTGGATATTACCAACGAACTTCTGATGGGGGCGGACGGTTGGAAACAGCTCACCAATTCAGTTTGACGCATGCATTTGACTGCTGGGTTTTTGAATATTCGCATGTTCAACTAAATTTGACGATTCCGCACCGTTTGGACCTCGTTTTTTTGAAGATTCGGAGAATCCTGATGATTTTCAGAAAAAAAACTTGTAGAGGTCAAAAGTTGGGGCTTAGGAGTTGCAGGGGGTGACAATTTTCTGACGCCTCCAACCCCAGCAATTCTACGCGCACCTAGACATACATTTACCCCTGAAACTTAAAAATATCTCCAACAGTTGCTTGTTGATACGTGCAACGTGGTCCTCCGATAGAGATCGTCATACGTCATAGTAGGCAATCCATTTCCAACTGCTGTTAGCTGTGTGCACTGTGCTTGGTGAAGGCCAATATCGTCATCGCAACGATCATGTGTGCCCGAAGGAATTTCTCTCAGAGAGAGGGAAGATCATTTATTATTTTGTTATACATGTTCGTCGCTACTTTTTTCTCAGATGGTTTAAGTTCTGGTGAACTTAATAATGCTCGAAGAACCGATGCCGGAGTTGCGTAGGAACAACAGAGTCAACCTACTAGACAACATTTTTATCCGATATCCAATTATCCGTCCAATTCCCTATCCGTTGCTTCCCTACTACGAATCTTGACTCTACAATAGCTCTGTGACATATTCGATAATTGCTAACCTGTAGGAACCGTGCTGTTAACAACGGCTTGAAATGCTGGTAATGGTCCAGGTTTTCCACTTTTGTAGTTTGCTATGACACCTTTAACATACAAAGCCCATTTTGGACCTTCCTTGGGTACTGTGATCATGTCTATTGTAGCCATTTGGTTGTCAAAGTTCTTAGCACTTGTGTACACATGGGACACCGTACCTTCTATCTTTTTACCTACAGGCAAAAATGTTGAAGATGAAGACATATGAGGATTAGGCAAACAATACAAGATAATCGGCAATACTTTCAACATTTAAGCATACATAATGCGAATTCTGATCTCCTCAACTATACTAAGTGACATATAAATCCGAACACCCAGTGTAAATGGTTTTATTTTAATAAAATTTTGTATAAGTACTTAATGAAGCATAATAAGTAAATGATAAAAATTTCAAAATGACTGCACTGCTTTAAAGCCCTTTGACCTTTAATAATGTGTGGATGCACCCGCATTCTCCAACGCGCCTAGGCATGCTTCTGATCAGGTGGTCAATGTCCTCCTGTGGTATCTCATTCCAGGCAACCACCAACTCCTCTCGAAGTGCTTCTAGAGTCTGAGGAGGACGTTGCAAATTGAGCAATCTCCTACCAATCATATCCCGCACGTGCTCAATTGGGGATAAGTCGGGAGATCTTGGTGGCCATGGTAACAATGTGACATCATTATGTTGAAAGAAGTCTATTGTGACTCTTGCAATATGTGGTCGGGCATTATCTTGTTGGAAAGTTGGATCTGTCAGGGTGTCAAGATAGGGTAAAAGATGGGGTTCTAGAACTTCGTGGATATAACGCTGCGCGTTCATGTTACCTCTGATGAAGATTAAAGGTGACCTGGAACCATAAGCCCAAAACCATAACTCCAATAGTGTGATGAACATGTCTTTCAACAAAAAACTGTGGATTCCTCCTTTCACCACGTCGCCTTCTAACCCTGGCACGACCATCGTGCATGCCTAAACAAAATCGACACTCGTCACTAAAGACAATACTGTTCCATTCCTGATCCCAGAGTGACCGTTGTCTGCACCACTCAAGGCGATTAGGTCGGTGTTCTCGAGTTAAAGGGAGGACCCAGTGTGGCCGGTATGAAAACAAGCCAAAACTTCTCATTCGTCGGTAAACACTTCGCATGCCAATAGGTCTTCCGTGTTCTGCAAACCATTCATTTGCAATGGACCTGGTAGTGGAGAAACGGTCCCTTAAGGCCAATAATCTTAGGCGGCGGTCTTCACGGTCTGTTGTTCTACGGCGGCGTCCAGTGCCCCTTGCTCTTTGCGTACGGCCTTCTCGAAGCCATACCTGACAACACCTAACCACAGTGTCTACACTTCTTTGCACTCTAACTGCAATTGCCCGAAAAGAAAGTCCAGCTTCCCGAAGTCCCACTATACGGCCCCTATCAAACTCACGAAATCGTACAGGTCTCCGTACTCTAGGCATCGTAACCGATCGTAAAGGATGTCAAGAACCAAAATCCGCCAACGTTGATTCTTTACTGCGGCTGAAATATTCATTTTTAGAGCGTTAGTGAATTAAAAAAAAGCAGTATAAAAACCGGAATGTCCAACTGATAAGGCTGAAAATTTGTTCACTTGTTATTTACAGTAAGATAAATACATTCACCAACTTTTATTAAAATAAAACCATTTAAACTGGATGTTCGGATTTATATGTCACTTAGTATATTTCGAAAACCGCACATTTTAGAAAAAGCTTCAAACAAAAGTTGTATGGGCAAAATGATGGTGAGCTTGATTACGACCTTTAACGTCAGGTAAATATTTCCAAATAGAACCTAAGTCGGATTTGAAAAGAGAAGCATAATTTGCTGCAAATCATCACATTGTCCATGACCTTGACCGTTGCTTTCAATGCCATTTACCAGGTCAAATCGAGACATCGAAAACAATTTGCTCTAGCACAGTTGTGAGGTACATGGGAACCACTCAGAGGTTTCCTTCACCATGACCTTGAACATGACCTTCAGGGTCAAATCAAAATTTCCCAGGAAAGCCTCTCATTGTTATACTGAAACTGGAAAAAACACAAAACTTGATTTTCGAAAATGACACAGATAATATTCCATTTATAGGCCAAAAAGTTAAATTAGAAATATTACAAAAGCCTAATTTATAAAACTATCTAAGGCGTTCCCGCAAAACACATCTCAGCTCCGCAATAGAACATAAGAATATGTCACAAAACTTACAAATACTATTATAATTCAAACACATAACCCTTTCAGGTGATTTCAAAATCAAATTTGTGTTAGCACGACTGCAAAAGAAAGTAACATTACATCTTGAAACGGATCTTGGCGTGAAAAAATGTAGTTGTGATAACAATTCCGAAGAAACTATAGCTCCATGCAAGAGTTTAAACAAAAAAATAACGGAACTGTGCTTCCTTCTCACATTCAAAGACGTCATTTTAAATCTGTCTAACAGAATTTGAAAGTCCGACCCACGTTGTGGGTAAACTCTATCGCACTTAAAAGCTAGATATCTAAGAGACTTTTTTTGAACATAATAATAATAATAATAATAATAAAATGTCTTTATTAGGCACATTATATACACTACCACATAATGTGACCTCTACGTAGGCGAAGTCTAGCTCTTGGCTACTCTACTTAACCTACCCAAATACTCAATTGAAACACTCAATCAAAAGAAACTTTGATAAGCAAAAGACGCTTCAAAACAACGAGCTTGATAGCTTCCTAGCATACATATATACACACATATATTACGTAAACTAAAATTAAATGTAAGAATTAAAAACTAACTTTTCCAAAATTACTATAATGACAAATAAATCTGTTTCACATGCTTACGAAATCTGTTTACTGGCCAATCCTTTATATTGTCATCTAATTCGTTATAAATCAGGATAGCATTGTAAGTGTATGAACTACGAAATAAAGTTGTTTTATACATAGGGATCTCTAGTCTTTTTTTGTGTCTGAAATCAATGTCTGAATTATTTCGTCTGAAAACAAATTTCTCATAAAGATACAAGGGGGATCTAGAAGATATGATCTTATGTGTAAACACTGCTAGATGGTACTTGCAAGCATTTTCTATACACATCCAACCAAGCTGAAATCTCTTTAAGGAAACATGATCATACTTCTTGAGATTAAATACAAATCGACAACAAGTATTTTGGAGTTTTTGGAGTCTTGCTTTTGTGATAGAATCAAGACAATGATAGAACACAATGCTACAGTAAAATAAGCTTGGAAATATAATAGCCTCACATAACTTTTTTCTAACTTTAAAATTCAAAATAGAGCGATTGACATAAAAACACTTCAACGTTGCATAACATTTTTTTAAGATAGACGAGACATGCTCCTTAAACCGTAAAGTATAATCAATAATCAACCCTAAATTTTTTGTAGTATTTACGACAGCTAGACGCTCCTTGTCGATTTTTACATCAAGAGAATTCAATACAGTGTTACGTTTGACAGCAGGACAAAAAAGCATCACTGAGCACTTATCCTTATTGAGCTTAAGATTGTTACCATTTGAGTATCCTACTATTGCCTCCAAATCATCATTAAGCTCATTGATTGAAGTATGCAAAGTGTTACTATTAAAGCTTTTATATATCTGTGTATCATCGGCATAGCACATCACAGAAGAGTTTTTCACAGAGCTACCCAAGTCTATAGTATAAATTAAGTACAACAAGGGCCCTAAAACTGAACCCTGAGGGACACCTGATGTTATATCAATCGGACTAGATATAGTGTTGTCTATCTCTACTACTTGTTTACGATTTGAAAGATATGTTATAAAAAACATTAGAGGTATGTCTGAAAAACCAAAAAACTTCAATTTAGCACATAAAAGCTCATGATCTATTTTATCGAACGCCTTAGAATAATCTAATGATACAAGTGCTGAAGCATCTCCCTTATCAAGCGAAGCAATTATGTCATCTAAAACCCTTGCTAAAGCTGAAGTTGTACTAAAACCACTGCGGAAACCAGATTGACACTTGGGAAAGAAATCATTATTAGAGAAATAATGATAAACCTGATGTTTAATCAATTTCTCCAATATCTTTGATATAACAGGAATCAAAGTTATAGGTCTTAAGTCTGAGAGACATTTTGGATTTTTACATTTAGGCAAGGGTTTGACAAGAGATAGTTTCCAAGCATCAGGGAAATACCCAGCCTCCAGGCAACAGTTCAATAAATGCGTCAGGGGTAGTAATACTCGAGGCAAGCAAAGCTTCAGCATTGAGACTGTTATACCATCCGAACCTGCTGCATTAGATTTTAGGGACAGAATAATGTCTAGCACATTTTGTGGGGTAGCAAAACTAAATTCAAATCTAGCACTTTCATTAATTTTGGTACTATTAAATTTATCAACTAGATCCTTGCAATTGCCCGAAGGCGTGAAAACGGAAGAAAAATAATTGTTTACTTCATCGGCATTCTTCAACTGTGTAGGTAAAGATCTATCTACATTAGTTTTGAGTTTCAATGAATGTACAGCTTTCCAGAGATGCTTGTTACTATTTAGTTGTTCATTGAAGCTTAGATATGCTGCTTTCTCCCGCCTAATAGCGGAAATGACATCATTTCTTAACTTCTGGTAATATTCGAGACTAGCTGGACTTTTTAAAATCTGATATTTTCTAAAGGCTTTATTTCTCTCGGAGATCAAAAATTTTATGCCACCTGTGAGCCATGGAGCATAAGGTTTAGTAATACGTGATGAAATAACAGGAGCATGGACATCAAACAAATCCAAAATATGATTAGAAAAAAACGTAGCTTTATCCTCTAAGTTAGTGATGTAATATATATCGTCCCATGGGATTTTATCCAAATCCACCAAAAACTGATCTTTACAACAGTGTTTAAAATCTCTATATTTGACAGTCTTTTGAAAATTCTTAGGCCGTGTGATGTTGAAGTCACATCTGACTACATTATGATCTGACAAATTCGGAACAGGTACAGAGCTAGTTGAAATTAATGATGATAATGTATCCTATTTATACTAAGTGACATATAAATCCGAAAACCCAGTTTAAATGGTTTTATTTTAATAAAATTTTGTATAAGTACTTAATGAAGCATAATAAGTAAATGATGAAAATTTCAAAATGATTACACTGCTTTAAAGCGCTTTGACCTTTAATAATGTGTGGATGCACCCTGATGTGCTACGCATTCTCCAACGCGCCTAGGCATGCTTCTGATCAATTGGTCAATGTCCTCTTGTGGTATCTCATTCCAGGCAACCACCAACTCCTCTCGAAGTGCTTCTAGAGTCTGAAGAGGACGTTGCAAATTGAGCAATCTCCTACCCATCATATCCCACACGTGCTCAATTGGGGATAAGTCGGGAGATCTTGGTGGCCATGGTAACAATGTGACATCATTATGTTGAAAGAAGTCTATTGTGACTCTTGCAACATGTGGTCGGGCATTATCTTGTTGGAAAGTTGGATCTGCCAGGGTGTCAAGATAGGGTAAAATATGGGGTTCTAGAACTTCGTGGATATAACGCTGCGCGTTCATGTTACCTCTGATGAAGATTAAAGGTGACCTGGAACCATAAGCTATAGCACCCCAAACCATAACTCCAACAGTGTGATGAACATGTCTTTCAACAAAAAACTGTGGATTCCTCCTTTCACCACGTCGCCTTCTAACCCTGGCACGACCATCGTGCATGCCTAAACAAAATCGAGACTCGTCACTAAAGACAATACTGTTCCATTCCTGATCCCAGAGTGACCGTTGTCTGCACCACTCAAGGCGATTACGTCGGTGTTCTCGAGTTAAAGGGAGGACCCAGTGTGGCCGGTATGAAAACAAGCCAAAGCTTCTCATTCGTCGGTAAACACTTCGCATGCCAATAGGTCTTCCGTGATCTGCAAACCATTCATTTGCAATGGACCTGGTAGTGGAGAAACGGTCCCTTAAGGCCAATAATCTTAGCCGGCGATCTTCACGGTTACTGTTCCATTCCTGATCCCAGAGTGACCGTTGTCTGCACCACTCAAGGCGATTACGTCGGTGTTCTCGAGTTAGAGGGAGGACCCAGTGTGGCCGGTATTAAAACAAGACAAAACTTCTCATTCGTCGGTAAACACTTCGCATGCCAATAGGTCTTCCGTGTTCTGCAAACCATTCATTTGCAATGGACCTGGTAGTGGAGAAACGGTCCCTTAAGGCCAATAATCTTAGGCGGCGATCTTCACGGTCTGTTTTTCTACGGCGGCGTCCAGTGGTCCAGTGCCCCTTGCTCTTTGCGTACAGCCTTCTCGAAGCCATGCCTGACAACACCTAACCACAGTGTCTACACTTCTTTGCACTCTAACTGCAATTGCCCGAAAAGAAAGTCCAGCTTCTCGAAGTCCCACTATACGGCCCCTATCAAACTCGCTAAGTTGACGAAATCGTACAGGTCTCCGTACTCTAGGCATCGTAACCGATCGTAAAGGATGTCAAGAATCAAAATCCGCCAATGTTGATTCTTTACTGCGGCTGAAATATTCATTTTTAGAGCGTTAGTGAATTAAAAAAAAGCAGTATAAAAACCGGAATGTCCAACTGATAAGGCTGAAAATTTTTTCACTTGTTATTTACAGTAAGATAAATATATTCACCAACTTTTATTAAAACAAAACCATTTAAACTGGGTGTTCGGATTTATATGTCACTTAGTATATTTTTTAAGAGCACTGCATAAATGAGTGCAAAAAGATCCCACGAAGATAATGGTGCACTTTTGAGTTCCAAGCGAGTTTAATTTCTGAAGGCACCCGCAACATTATACCTCATTTCTCTCTCTTATATACCTGTACGACTGCTCAAGATCTATCCATATTTTCTCTGATGCAGGTTAGAGAAAACTATTTGACCTGTTGCTTACCAACTAAACAGGTCACAAGAGGAAGCGCCATAGGCATAACAAACCCATCATTGTAATCTGTATGCTCTCCAATAAGGTTGACCCTCCCAGGTGCAAAGGCAGTTATTTCTGGTTCTTCTCCAAACTGCTGTTGAAAGATTTGTTGAGCTTGGTGTATGACTGCATTTATTGGAACTATTTGCTCAGCCATTTTCTGGTACAATCTTGGTGCAGGACCGATGTAAGCGTGTTGGAAAAATGAAGTTGCAACGTCATGTGACATACGTCATACTTTGCCTTTACATAGTCGGTACCACAGATTATTAACAACATTACAGACAATGATCTCCCTTACTATTGATAGTACCATTGTTAACAGCGCCATCTGACGATTGAGCCGTTCACTAACCTATAACAAACGAGCCAAACACGACGACTCTCCGGTCGCGCCCTCGAATTGCATTATATTTATTGTGCAAATATACAGGGTGTTCCTTAGTGATATGCGAATATTTAAGGGTGTGAATCTACATGAAAAATTAATACTGGCTTGCTTTATAAACTATGGTCCAAAATTGTTTCCTTACAAAAACTCTGTGTGTTGAAGTTTTAGGAAAAAAATTGGAATGAATATTTTCAGAACCGCTTCAGATATTTCACTGATATTTAGTACGTAGTGATTGTTAATAAAGTTGTATATTTTTCAATGCAAAAATAATTTTTTGCTTTAACAATGGTGGTAAAAATATTTACTGGATTTGGCAACATTATTTTTTGTATTAAGAGGCTGATTTATCCCTGAATAGATTGAAATTATTGGGTCCAGTGGCATCGCGAAGGGCATCTTAGCGAATATTATTGGTAAAAGAATGTACGCCACTGTCTTTTTTGTGACTTTCTTATTGAGCATCTGAAAATACAACTTTTTTGATTCCTGTATTTTCTTCGTATCTCACTTCGTTTTCGAGAAAAAAAATAAAAGTTTTTTTATTGCATGTCATTGGACAAAATTGATTTAATAATTTTCTAAAATCTAAAAAATGTCCAGGGGAGAGTCTTATTGCAACTTTTCCTATAGATCGAGGTCTATTTCGTATTTCTTCGCAGGCATTCAAGATTTTATTTTTTAATTCTCCTATTGTTTCTATAGGATTAGCGTTAACCATCATCTTAAGGTGGCCCCATAAATAAAAATATATTGGACTTAAGTACGAGTAATTAACAAAACCATCCCGCCAAAATTCTGCACCATCCGTAAAAAGTATGGTTTTATTTAAATTCCTATTATTATTAACCTTTTTAATACCATTGGTAAAACTGTAAAAGGGGTAAAAAATATCATGGTAATGATGCTAGCACACGTTGGACATGATTTCGAATCAATGTTTAACCTTGCTTTGTTGGGCTAGCAAGGGGAGAACTTTTGATTTTCGCTGACTGTACGTGCTTTTATTGTGATGTATGCCCTGTGTACGTATATTCCCATCCATTATTTCTTCACATTAATGTAATTATCATCGATTTTATACTGGTAGACATACGCTGCGTTTAGACTGTGTTGACAGATGAAGTATACAGTCAATCATACATAATAAAAAATCCATATTGGATCTGATTTGGATCAGTATCTACTAATTGTATTTACTAAACTGAAAATCTGATTTATACATTACGGCTAATTTGGCCACTGTAGTACAAAATAAAAGGACCCGCTACATAGACATCGTTAAAAAACCTATGTAGTTCTTAATTTTGGCTTACAATTCTTATTTTTCGATTGACCCATTTCATATTCCCAGATGACGATGAATAGGAGATAAACATCGAGGAGATATTACAGCCCAACTGCAATCGAACTACGCTTCAATAGAGTGAACTCTGAAGCCTTTGTTATCCATAAAATACCTATTTAGAAACTATAAACACCCTTGTTCTACGTTTTAAAACTGACAAAACATCCGATTTATAGAAAAGGTAACACTTCCGGATCAAATATCGTTTAAAATTTCCTCTTTCACTACCTACTGCAGAAGTCATTATTACTGACCTCAATGCCTTATTGAAAAGTGGCATTTCTCTACCTATATAAATAATGAAGACAAAAACACATAAGTAAAGATTCATGTGATTTCAAATTAATTTGTTCTGTCAGCCCCGTAGGGTCAGTTCTTCTTTGATACCCCAATGCCTCCATTATGTTTAAAAATGGGTTTTAATGTTAAGAAAGAAAAAACATTTGCACGTTACTACCCTTGGATGGACAAGTCTAAAGCAAATCGGCTGTCTGTTGCATTCATTCTGAGTTTGTCAGTTTGACACCAGATAACTAGATATTTTAAAGTATTTCTGAAAACGTCATGAATGCTGGTGATCTAAACTGAATCCAAATTCAAGATGAGATGTAAATAATAACAGTTAGCGCGTGATCTCTCGGTAACAGGTGGGACAACGCCTCTTATTGGTCAATTCGCCATTAAATTTCAAGCGGTCGCCTGGCGGAATAATGCGCGGGGTAGAGGCAGGGCAGGCAGAGTTGCACTCAGGCCACCGTCCGTCGCGTGTATCACTGCGTGCTCGTGTTTTCGTATTCACCTTGCTTGGTTGTTGCTGTTGTTGTTGTTAAGTGTATTTGAGTAATTTGATAAGTTTTCTGTTTCTGTTAAATACTGTCAGCCCTGAATGCGGCCCTGTACGTCGTCCTTGCTTTTGGCAATCAAGCATCCATTCTATCGTGGGTGTAAATACACTATACATTCGAACCTTTTCCGATATATAGTTTTAGTACTGAAAAAAATTCTACACATTCCTGGTATGTATGTATTCACGACCAGATAGTAAAGTCTAAGATTATGGGCATAACGACTTTCTTTTCTACAGACGGACTCCTTGATGCCCAGGACGGTAAAATAGCTTTATCGCCCGCTATGCTTGAACTGAAAGAGGACTATTATTGATCATTTGTTGCTAGGCAACAGCAACAGCATATCAGTGCAGTGAATCCATCTATTTTTAGCTATTCCACATAAAATGTATATGGTTTAACTTTCTGATTTTAGCCAGTCGCGTCTAAACATTGTTGCATGTTTAAGCCCCCTGATGCTTGCCGTCTTATGCTCCAACGTCATACCGCCGTCTGTCTGCCCCAAACACATAAATAATTATTTTAAGCTCACAAAAAGATGACTCGGAGTTGTTGAAAAATGTCCAACTTTAAGAATTTTATTGGACTCAAATTTAAGTTGTGGTAATGTCGTAAATAAACTTCAAGTATGCTGTTGTAAATATAAGTCACTTTTGAGATACAAACATGTCGTAACCAGTGATACATAAATAAGATAATGCAATATGTCTCGCTAGACTGTGACTCTACAAAATGTTATAATTTTTACGGAAGAAATCAAGCACAACATTCAAGTATTGCAAACCTGCTGTACGAGATTCTGCTTCAAAGATACGCTTAGGCAAGAGCATATTTTCCATTACCCAGTTATCTGTTTAATTCTTTAGGGAAAAGATCTTCACTTCACCAGGTTTTTTTTATTCAACCATGACTATTTCAATATTTTAGTTCAAACATAAAAATTCGAAAAATGCTTCGAAAATACAGCACCTTCTGAATGACTATTTATAGCTTTTTGAAGCACCTTCCATCCAAAGCTTCAGAAATCAGATCGAAAAAGTGCTATTGGAGCTACAAAAATTTTAATCCACAAATTAAATTTAATTTCGGTTGCTACCCTATCTTCCACTAACACTCCGACTAAATCAAGTTATATATTGTGTTGAGCACAATATTTGTTGTAAATGCTTATTGCTCTGTCTAGTTGATGTTCATCAAACTAACTATTTAGGGGGGGAGGTTGAAACATGGCCTTGCCCAATCCTTTGTCTGTTGTCCGTTTTATATTTTGTAATGTATTTGCATTCCAATAAGAGATATTACTATTGTTATTATTATAAACCAGAAAGCTGCAGCAACGTCCATTACAAACTCTGTGCGCGTCAGTGATAGCCAGTCTCACCTTCATCATGTAGCAAGTGGAGTTCCTCAAGGCTCTGTCTTGGGGCCAGTGCTGTTCCTTCTGTATACAAGTGACCTGCCCGCATTAATTTCCTCCACATGTTCAGCTTATGCCGACGACACCTAGATTTACAATACTGTCGTAAATTCTGCTATGCTTCAACGAGATATTGATATTGTTTGTCAATGGTCAGTCAGTTGGCTTTTACCCTTAAATCTAACTAAGTGTTGTATCCTTCACCTCGGGAAGACAAATCCGCGATTTACATACAAGATCTCTGACCACAACATCGAAGCAGTTTCCAGCCACACTGATCTGGGCGTTGTAGTCAACGATCGTCTTTCCTGGTCAGAGCATATTCACCACGTTACATCAAAAGCCAAGAAACTTCTATACATGCTGGAGAGGTCTTTCAAAGGATCCGATGTCAACACTTGCGCCTACATTTACAAGGCATTCGTGAGGCCAATTCTTGAATTCGCTGGCCCGGTATGGGACACTGTGCTTCTGCGCGATAGAAATCTCGTCGAATCAGAACAGCGTCGGGCTACTCGTATCCCTTTTGGAGCACGAAGACCAAGCTATGAAGATCGCCTTGAATTATTCAACCTGACGTCATTCTCTGAGCGAAGACTTCGTGGCGATCTTATAGTTACGTTCAGGATACTTCATGGTTTGATGGGCACCAACCTCATGCATCTATACCGTCTGTCGCGCAGCTATCTACGCGGACACAGCTTCAAACTGCATAAGGAGCTATTTAAAACAACATTCCGACAGTGGTTTCTTCCCAACCGCATATTCAACACCTGGAATAGTTTACCTGAAAGTGTGGTTGGTGCTACTTCAGTTAATAGCTTCAAAGTGCAGTATGATAGCTGGAGGAGGGTACAAACTTTATAGCTATGAACTGTCTTTTTTTATTTTTTTCTATTTGATGTATTTGTGTTACGTGTCCGTACACTATATTTACTGCACGAGCTGTGTACTCTGCTCATCTCAATTATCATAATAATAATAATAATAATAATACGAGTAATAGTAACTTATATCTAGAACCTAAACAATATACTCGCGTACGCCTCTGTTAATATGTAGCGGCGCGTATTAACAGCTCTTTCCGATACATCTACCAGTCACGCACAAAACTTGTCCGCGAAATGGCTATCAAACGAACTATACAAGTAACTCCCGTGAAACCAGCAACCGGCAAACCGAAAATATGTTTGTGCAAAACACTGAGTCCAGTCCTTTCATCTATCAGACTTCTGGGCCTATTCCCGATCGCCTGGGAACACACTAACCATGGATGTGTCTACAAAAAGTCTCTACCGTGGTTACTGCTAACTATGCTTCTCATGGGAGCAAACATTATGCTAATGCTTGCATGTGTTGATATACACCAGATCTACAATGAAAAATGCTTAATCATCTTTTTACACGAAGTCACCAATATCATATATGCCATCTACGTCATATTCCTGGAATTATTCTGTTTTTGGAGAGCACCAAAGTGGATCGAAGCGTTGAATAAGTTCGTGGTTCTTCTGAAAAACAATCTGTTCTGTCAATCTGCTATGCGAGTAGCTAAAACAGTAGAATATGCCTACTTAGCGATTTTTTCTTTTATAGCTGCGTTAAATCTGGGTCTGCTGTTTTGGATAAGCTACTCGGAACAGTACTCAGCAAAGTTTAGTTACCTAGATATTTTATGGAAGGTTAAGCAAATGATTACGTTTGCGTTTTATATGTTGTTTTTGAGTGTGGTATGGTCATGTAGTGCGACGTTAGCTTGCTTTGAGAACTATGCCGCCAATAGTTTGAAGTTTATGTCTATCGATCCGAAACGTGGAATGGGCCGTTCAAATAACGTCAGGGATTTCCTGGGTATCATACGCTACAAGTAAGTACTAATGATATGCGAATATTTAAGGGTGTGCTTTTCCTATGATGTTATTATTATAGAGTGCTTCTCAGACAGATCCTTCCAAGAGAAGAAGATTGATATGGATCAAAAATAAAATTCCACGTGGCGGGTCATCTCGGACCAGACTCAGAATTTTTTCTTGCACACCCAGTAGATTTAGAGGCATGTGAAACTCCAGGATCCCAGGTCGAAGGAGTCGTCCTGAAAACGCGCTCAAAGTTTGACGACTCGATAAAATGACTTGTAAATTTTAACAGTTTGGCAGCTTTTCTATTTTCTCGCTGCTTCTGTCACTTGAAACCTTTCGGCCATCATATACAGGGTGATTCAAAAGTCATTACCAAAAATGAAACATCATACACAGGATCCCATTTTGAGGGGGGGGTTATACGTAACATTTTTTTCTCAAGGGCTTCATTAAAAAGATAAGGGGTGTTGAAGTTTAAAAATAAAAGACAATTTTTTTAGTATCTTTTAAACCGTCAACTGGAATGAAATAAAATTTAAAAATAATTAATAATAATAATAATAATAATAAATGCCTTTATTTCCAAACAGCTCACAAAAAAAAATCAGAAAGAAACATCAGTATTAACCAAAAAAAGGGAAAATAAATAAAACAAATGTCGACTATCTAAAAACCACAAGGGGGAGTTCACTATCTAGTGCTCTTCCACTCATCCCTTGAAATTGTAAGAAACATTATGCCAGTGAATACATCCATCAAGCATATACAAACATCAATATGAACAGCATGTAAGTTTTTTTAAGAATAAGATAGAAAAGTGAGAAATGTGGTAATAAATTAAAAAAAAAGAAAGTTTAGAATAATATATAGATATACCCATACATACCACATAAACAAACGCCAATATGAGCAACAATTAAGTTTGAAAAAAAGAGCAAAGAGAAAATGTGGTGGTAAATTTAAAAGTCTAGAATGATATATAAATATAAGTCAACGCCAAACAAAGTGGCGTGCACGTCATCACGATAAAAATTCCCCGACCTAATGCCTAGGTTTCTATCACAAACAATTGCTCTATTGCAGTTTCATATTAATGTGATATATAAATTGTAAAATGGTCATTACTCTCTTATTATGGTTAATAGTCATATAAACATTGTTATTAAAATATCACATAAGTTGCTTTCTGATAAATTTAGACGCATTATGCGAAATAAAATGTTTTGCAAACGCTCCAATCACTTATCGACATGTAAACGCACTAAACCGATTTCGCAGCGTTGACACATTGTCACCTTGAAACTTATTTAAACTGGGAACTGACATTTGTATTAATTTTGACACTGAATCAATTTGTGGCATTTCAAATCTTTATAAATCCTTTGGCCCCGCATACTGTAAATCAACAACTGTTTGTTTCAAAACAAAATTATTCATTTTACGAGTAGATAAAGGCAATTTTGGTATATAAAGATGCCCAAACAGTTAAATAGTCGGTGTAAGGAACTCGTGGCCTCGTTAATGCACTACTTTGAGCAAGAACGGGACAACAACGGGCCTTTGTTGCCTTTAAATGCTGTTCAAGAGGTAGGTTACTAATAATTATATGTAATGTATATTAATAATAGTGAAATTTTATTTCATTTTTTGTAGCGTGTTGCTGCTGCTTTAAAAATTAGTTTAAGGATAGTTAGTCGTATTTCCGAGGGTGTGAAAAGTGATGCAAATTTAGAATCGCCCAAGAAAAAGCGGAGTTATATTAAACGTGTAACCAACACAGCGACATTGGATACAAGTGCCATTCGAGAAGTGATCTATAATATGTATCACAAAAGTAAGATCTTATTATAATAACTTATCAGAAATTTGCATTAATTTGTTAACTAAATTATAATGTCATATTACACATGGTTTCAGAAGAACAAGTTACGATACAAACTTTATGGTCTCGATTAAGAGATAGATGGTAGTGCCACGTTTTTAAGGCGGTTGCTTAGAGATCTTGGATTTAAGTGGCTTAAGGACAATCCGCGACGAGGGCTCATGGAACTACCAAGTATAGCTTTGAAAAGGGTGGAATTTCTAAGGCAATACAATCAAGCCAAGGTTGAGGCCTTATACCAGTTTGTCTTCCTCGATGAAACTTGGATATTTCAAAATGGGACCATAGGTCGCTCTTGGCAAAATGGAAACCAAAAAAGCGTGAAAGCTATTAAAACAGATGGTAAAAGGTATGTACTTTTACACAATTTGCACTATAAAATTTAAAACTAATATATTTTAGATACATTATATTACATGCTGGAAATGAAAATGGGTTTATTGAGGGTAGTGAAGCGATATTTTCTTCGAAAAACAAAATTGAGCGATTACCATGGAGAGATGAACCAGGACAATTTTTTGAAATGGTTTCAACATCAGTTATTAGAAAAATTGGAGAGTCCATCTATGATTATACTGGATAACGCCCCTTATCACAGCATGATATTGAACAAAGTGCCCAACAATGCATGGACAAAAAAAAATATCCAAGACTGGTTGACAAATCAAAACATACCATTTTTAAACACAATGTTTAAAACAGAGCTATTGAGTATTGTTGCTCGGTACATAATGCTTCTTAATTATATATATTTTGGTCGACAGTTTATATTTCTTTTGTTTATTCCTATTCTTAAAATAACTGCTTTTTTAGAAACAAACCACCTAAAATATACGTGATTGATGAATTGGCGGAACAACATGGGCACAAAGTTCTTCGTCTGCCTCCTTACCATTGTATATTTAACCCTATTGAGTTAATTTGGGGCATAGCAAAAGGTTACTATAACAGACATATTGGTAGAGATGGTAACAGTGAAAAAGACTGTTTGGATATGTGGAACGAGGCTCTACAAACGGTTACCCCAGACATGTGGAAAAATAGTGTTCGACATACTGAGCAAGAAATTTTTAAATGGTATGAAAGAGAACGAATTTTTGATCGACCAGACATCGAACCTTTAATAATCAACTTTGAGAGTGATGAAGATTCAGACAGCGCTGAAGAAAGAAACTCCGACTAACTTTATTGTACAGAAAAAGCTTACACCAGTAGCTTACCTAATTTCAGAATGCATTTTTCTGTATGAATTCTGTAAAATAAATACCATGCATAAAATTTGGAGGACCCCATTTGGATTTTTATTCAGTACCTTTAAGCTATCAATTAAATATGGTAGTTTCATAGTGTCATCTGATCAATAATTGTCATACTTAATGATTATGCAAGTACAGATCTATAATTTTATTATACTATTATTTTTGTTCTCATTTGAGGTTAATATTGCTTATAAACCTAGATATGTAAATAATAAATTTTATTATTTTACAAAAAGTTTGGCAACAATGTAAATTTTTCAACACACCCACCTTGATGACGTGCACGCCACTTTGTTTGGCGTTGACTATACATATACGTACATTATGCATCATATGAAAAAAAATATAAATAAAACAATGGAATGCAAACAAAATAAAATTGAAATTCCGCAGTAAGAATAATTCTACTTTATACATTCAAGGTAAGAATCACGCAAAACCGCTTTGAACTTGTGAATTTCATATGATTTTAGGTACTGGGGGATAGGATTGTATAGCTTATATATGTTATACGTAAATGATCTTTCATAAAATTTAGTTCTGTGGAATGGAGCGGTAATGTTTTGTTTCCAACGAATATTTACGGAATGGATGTCTTTTCTGAATGCTATTTTCTCGTAGAGGTAATGAGGCTGCCTGAGAGTTAAAATTTTATGATAAAAGCATATTGTGAATATCTCAAAACGATCCTTCATATTTAGCCACCGGAGTTCTTTCAGCTTATGACTAACTCTTTCAAATTTTCTTATGCCATATACTGACTTTGAAGTTGAGTCATTAATTTTCAGATAATGATTGTAGAAGTAAGATAAACCAAAATATGTGTGTAAAAATAAAAAAAAATAAAAAAAAAATTTTTACCTTGTATCCTCCCGACAAGTATTTCAGTGCGGACCTGTATTTGATCGTGAGGTCTTGGAGCACCGACATGCAGTCCCCTGTGAGGTCTTAAGTCAAAAGATTCACGAGCCCGTTGTACTACATTAACAAAGGCACGAGGGGTTGGGTGCACTCGATTCGGAAACCGATCCGCATAAATATGTGCCATTTTTTATTTCGTTTGAGCCACGCAGCAAACACCACTATTCACTCACGCGTTACCGACTGACACAGACTGAATAAAAACATCGTGATCAGCGTTTCAAGTTCTTTCGCTTTTTTGTTTCCGATGCGATGAACCGATAAGGCGGAGTATATCCGTTGTCGCCAAACACGAGCACATAATATTATTATTGAGACAGGGCGGTACTCAAACTTCTAAAGGGCTATATAACTTTGTTACTTTAATTTTACCACAAAAATGTTAAAGGAAAAAAACATTTCCTTTGATCAGATCTACTCACTGTTAAAATAAATGACTCAACTTCGAAGTCACCCTGCATAAAACGTATGCATGAGTTCTGTGTTCTCTGTATTCCCATGAATGTATCACAATCTAAACATGCAGAATAAATTGGAACACATTACACAATTACTCTTGCGTTTTTTCCTAGAGTGCACTGTTTTCATAAGAATAAAAATAAAAGAAATTAGATGATTCATGAAGAACCAAGATGAAATAGGGGGCCTTGACGTTTCTTGGAAGATAGTTTGTCAAACTTATGTGTTATACGCTTGTTATCGTTACTACTTACATTTATTTTAAAGTCAAGTCAAAGGTATCTTTATTCCGTGTTTGAGTGTTGTGAAATTTAGCAATGATGAGTACGCCGATATTATTTTTGTGTACGAGTTCTGTAATGGAAATGCTATAGCGGCTTCCCGGGAGTATGATGCTTCGTTTTTGGTCACGACTTGTGAAGTACCCTGTATAACTATCCCCAAGTAAAATTGTCAACGGGAGACGAAAATGGTCGCAAAATTTCGATATGATAATGCGTTCATGCAGATATTTCAGTCGAAAATGGTATTTCGAATTTGATCACTGGTTTATTGGGATGACAAAATTAATTTATTTCTTAATGGAGACGTACACTCAGGTTCAAAATAGACCCAACAAGAAAGCTTTGGTCAAACCCAGACCATCATAACTTTTTTAGTTTAGGCGGTAGAGTACAAACTTATTGGTTGTAGCCACAGTTTCACTTTTTGTGCAGTGTAGATCAAAATGTCTCATTATTCCAACTTTGAGTCACTCTGTGGTGCGAATACAGCTGCCAATCAGACCGTAATGCTTTTCGTTAAGAATCACATTTTCTCTATAGTCTGTTTTTTATTCACGTCAATTTATACAGAGATTGAAGTTTTAGAAGCAAATTTTACAATTTTCTTTCTTCCTTTCATAACTTTCTTAATTTCCATACGAATTCAGAAAAGTTTTTCGTCAGATTCTACACAAATCTATTACTTTTCTGCGTTAGCAAATCGTCATGGATTCGGCTTATCTACAGTGGTGAAGAACACGTTTAACTTAGTTCAAGATCACGCTGTATAATTATGTCAGGCTCTAACCCTCCAAAATACAGTGTCAAGGCAATAACCATATCTCCCTTATCGTCCAACTTCGTCTTCCTGAAATTTCTAGCTTGGATCGTCCTTTTGGAGCAAAATGAATCTATCATAACAGTTCACAAATTTTAATCAGTATTATACTCATCAGATAGGCGACTTCTATAAATGAAATTTTGTATTCGTACTTTGTTTATTTACATTGCTCATATCGTGATGCGACACCCGGTTGTTCTTGATCTAATCAACGATTTAATTCCTCTTCGATCATTCTGACTGTTAACCGACGATCTAATCGCACAGGAAACCGGATGCCTTAAACCACCCAAGACTATCTCCGCAGGCCTGTTTAGCAAGAATTTCTGTTGCACTGTGCCCAAGTCTGAAGCTAAATCTTATAACACACCGTCACTCAATCTTAGACCACAATAAAAAGATATTGTTAAAGAACAGCTATGGACAGCCAAATGACTTGAGCGAGTTCAAAGTTGCACTGAAGGCGGATCACATATTCAAGTGTCTCTCCTTTGAGCCAGCGCCTCCAGTGTTACCAGATGGAACGCACCCCTAAACAGATTCCTAAGTCCGCACTTGCTAATCATCGTGCAATTTTTAGGCAATGTAATGGAAAGCATCAACAACTCCCAAGCCTCACCTATTCGCCAGCTGAACTGATCGAACATTTCCGAATGCTGCACGAAGACATCTCCCTGTGCATCTACAGTTTCAACGAAAGCTTGAACCCCATTTTCCTCTTCCACATTGTCATCGAGTTGACAGTTTTGATCATCAATGCCTACGCGACCGTGGCCTACTTTGTTTATACCTTCAAAAACCCATTGGCTTCAGCTATTCAGATGATCAACTACGTATTTTTGTTGTTCCATTGCATCGGGATGATTGTGTTTCTGAGGAATGCTCAACATTTGAAGAATATGGTGAGTATGCAAAAAATTCTGGAACCGAATATATACCTCCGGGATAGAGGATAGTTGCGATACTTTCGTTTGCTGACACAGAGACGAGAGACCAAGCCCAGACCAACCTGGTGGGTAGCCAATAAGCATGAAACACTTGTCCATGGTTGGCTATATTTTGTTTAGACAAAAGCAAAAGTTTATTTCCGAAAAATATCAACATCGATATATTCTAATTTGTCACGGGTCTGTTTTAACATCGTCTCTTGTCCACCAGTAACAACTTTATTTTTTGTAATGGACGCCTTATTGCATTTTTGCACAGATGTTTGATTCTGATTCCAAAAATATACATTTTTTCTGCATTTAGTTATGAATAAGGTGTTCTCTTTTCTATTGCAGGTTACAGGTCTTATAAATTTGCTCCTCGAGCATTCGTCAACTGTTTCTACTCTGGAAGAGCACCAGCAGATCAGGTTATTTATAGAGAAATTGAAGCATCACAGACACTTAAGTGCAAGTGGCGTTTTCGAGATCAACCTAGGAATTGCCGGACCTGTAAGCAACACTACTCTGTGTTTTTACCATAAGAATTAGCTACTTTTTTTCAGATTGCTGCAAACATTTTGACGTATGTACTTGTTGCATTGCAGTTCGAGGTACCTCAAGAATAAAATCGACGAGTCACTAGCTAGTGAGGCACCGTTAGATATGGTAGATACCCTAATACTCGTACGCTTCTGACAATGTTATTATTATTATTAAACAAATTTGAGTTGAGTACAAGTATTATAAACTCAAACACAAAAATAGATAATAGTGTACAGACAAAAGAAAAATAACAATTTGACAATCTTAGCACTTCTGAAGTAGACATATACAGAATGGGAACAATATGTTAAGCACTGCGGTGTCTATCGTAATTGTTTTTGAAACTGTTGACGGATTCCGAGTTCACTACAAAAGATGGAAGACTGTTCCATGCATCGAAGACACGGTTTGAGATGAAGCGCTGACGAGTAGAGGTTCTAAAAGCTTCCTTCTGCAATTTGAAGTTATGGCCTCTGAGACTGTTCGTTGCCAGACGAAACAGATGCGACATGTCCACACCAAACAAATTATGCAGTGCTCTGAAAGTGATGATGAGATCTCCTCGTACTCTTCTATCAGCAAAAGCAGGCAGGTTATATAGCTCGAGGCGGTCTTCATAACTTGGCCTACGTGTGCCATATGGCATACGTGTAGCACGACGCTGAACGGCCTCTAATAAGCTGCTATCGCGAACAAGGTTTGAATCCCATACCGGACCAGCAAACTCCAGTAGGGGTCGTACGAAAGTTGTGTACAAAAAGGAGGAGGTACTAACGGTGCAACCGCTAAATGACCTTTCCATCATATATAGCAACCGCTTTGCCTTAGAGGTTATGTTCTGAATGTGCTCCGACCAGGTGAGCCGGCCATTAACTGTCAGACCAAGATCTGTGTGATGAAGAACAGTCTCTAAGGTATGTTTGCCAATCTTATATGTTAAGTTAGGATTATTCTTTCCCAGGTGGAGAACGTAGCATTTCGATAGATTTAAAGGCAGGAGCCAGAGCTCTGACCACTTTCTGATCAGCTTGAGGTCTTCTTGAAGCACAGATGAGTTCATGACAGTGTTATAGACTTTAGTATCATCTGCATAGATGGATCGCATAGAATAAAGTCGGGTGGGAAGGTCGCTTGTATAAAAAAGAAAAAGTATTGGCCCTAGCACAGATCCTTGTGGAACTCCACTAGTAACACGATGACTAGAAGAATAGGCGTCTCCAACACGGACGGAGAAAGATCTGTCTAACAAAAAAGCTTCAATCCATAACAACAAATTTCCCCTGATTCCGAGATGTTCAAGCTTGTGCAGGAGCCTTTTATGCGGAACTCGATCGAAAGCTCTGGAAAAATCCAGAAAAACCACGTCGACCGGTTCATTTGCGTCTAAAGATCTGGTCCAATTGTCAATGCAGTGTAACATGTTGGTGATAATTGATCTACCAGGAATAAAACCATGTTGGTTGCTAGGCAGCAGGTTGTTCTTGAACGCAAATGTCATAAGTTGTTCCTGGACGATCTTTTCGGCTATTTTCGCAGCTATAGGCACAAGACTGATAGAACGGTAGTTTTTCGCAGATGTTTTATCTCCTTTTTTGTATATAGGTGTGACAGATGCAGTACGCCAACAGGAAGGAAGGATGTGATTTTGAATCGAGGAGTTGAATATGATGCGAGAGCTGAGGCACAGGACTTCATAACGGCAGAAGTAATCCCATCCTTTTCAGGGGACGAACAAGTTTTCAGTTTAGTAAGGTGCCTCTCAATGTCCTGAGGTTGAAAATCTATGCTACAGATGGTCGCTAGGCTTCTATGAGGGCTGGATAAGTTCGGAAGAGTACCATCACCATCAGGTTCATTCACAAAGTCTTCACTGAAAGCATCGGCAAGAAGATTGGCAGATTTTTCGGCATCAGTATGTAGGTGGCCATTGGGATCACGGATTTGTGGGGAAGAAACCTTAGAGTTGGCAGAACGTGAGTGAAATGCAGATACAAATTTTGGCAGGCATTGCTGAACATTTTTCGATGCGCACACACTCTCCGCCATGTTTTACGCCCACTAGATTTTCTTGACGACAGCATTCGCTTCATACGAGTACGTATTTCCCTTCGCTGCTTAACCTCCTTTCTCTAGGCCTTCATACGGCAGAGACACGTCTTTAAAGCTGGTTTATCTATGCTCAAGTCTACAGTTGTCAACTTGCTGCGAACTGTCTGTCCCTAAGAGGCTCATAACTTTTTGATTTCGACGTTGGAAAATCATTTCATTTGTATTATTGATTAAAATCTAGCCAAAACCTAGCTGACTGACTAGCTAACGTTTGGTTCGGTCATCGATGATAGGTCGAGAAAAGCTAAAATGGGGGACACTTTTCTCCTGAGGGGCTACGAGTTTTTAGTGAGGGTTCCGTCCGATATTAAACATGGTATCTAAAAAAGTTAAACAAAAAAACTTGGTTCGTGTAATTATCTCTTCCTACAAGATGATTTATAACTACATGGTGACGCAAACATACATTTTTTAAATGGAAAGCCCTACATTTTGAAGTATATTTGGACAGTCCCATCTAAATAGAACAATTCAATATAGATACTACAAGGTTTTATTTTCAAATTGCTTATAAAAAAAACACCTATACTCGACAACTCGCACCAACACAAGTGTTGCAGCTAGAGCAGTGTTGTTTTCCACAGAAAAATTTCATGCTTCCCTATATTCTCCCTACCTGCCTCCCTTTCCAGTTTTTTCGGATAGTGTATACTGAAAAATCAAAAATGCAGTACGAACAATTTCTCAGTATTTTAAAATGGAACTGTATATTTTCACATCCTTTGTTTCCTCTTTTCACAAGCTTTCTATTACACTGATCAACAGCCAAAAAATATCCTAAATAAAATCAACAAAATATTACTATTTTTAATGTGCTAAAACCGGAATGAAACTTATTTTTTCAATATTAGTTCAAGTTTTAGAGATACGGTAATCATATGTGTTCCTGCTGTGACAGTGTTAATATACTGTAATTCACAAGAATGCACGTGCTACATTTTTATATTCGGCAAGGAAAGATAATGTAATCGGCATGACTGTGTTACGTTATACATACGTGTACATTATATTGTTTTATATTAGCCATTTTTTCCTCAGTTGGCTGACAGCGTTCATGCAAGATGTCTCGAAAGTGTGTAAACAATCCAGATCAGTTTTGTTACGTGTGTGGTGATGTGACTTTTGCGTGTCAGAGACGGTCTATTACTCCACTAATAACAAAGGCGTATCAGCTTTATTTCGGTTGTAAACTAGGTGATCAAGACAAACAGTGGGCACCCCACATCTGCTGTAATACATGTGCTTCAAGTCTGAGGAGCTGGTTAAATGGCAAAAAACGGTCTATGCGCTTTGCTGTCCCAATGGTTTGGAGAGAGCCTACAAATCATATTAATGATTGTTACTTTTGCATGGTACCTTGTGTTGGACAAGCCACAGGTATGTCCAAGAAAAAAAAATCGGTTATTAACTACCCAAACATACCATCTGCGATGAGACCTGTGCCTCACAGTGACGAAAATCCTATTCCAAAACCCCCAGAATCCTACACTTGCGAATCAGAAAACGAATCAGATCATGGCGATCGAGTGATTCGTCAGGAAGAAGATATGCCATCAACGTCAAGAGATACTGATTTTATACCGAGCACGTCATGCCACCAAGCGCACAAAATAACACAGTCAGAATTAAATGATCTTGTAAGAGATTTAGAACTTCCAAAATGTAAGGCAGAGTTACTTGGATCAAGACTGCAGCAGTGGAACTTGTTAGAAGACGATGTTTCGGTATGTGTTTTTCGTAAACGCCACAAAGACTTAGAACCATTTTTCAATATGGAGAATAACTTGGTTTTCTGCAGTAACATTAACGGCTTACTGGCGGCTTTAAATATAAACTATAACCCAGAAGAATGGAGATTGTTTATAGACAGTTCAACATTGAGTTTAAAGGCAGTGTTATTGCATATTGGAAATATTTTACCATCTCTTCCTGTAGGGTATGCAGTTCACATGAATGAATCATATGACAATATGAAGTACCTATAGACATGCATAAAATACGATGAGCACCAATGGCATATTTGTGGCGATTTGAAAGTTGTTGCACTTTTACTTGGGCTGCAGCTAGGCTACACAAAGTTTTGCTGTTTTTTGTGTGAATGGGACAGTCGAGCAAAGGCACTTCATTACACCAGACAAAACTGGCCTGTTCGTCAATTCCTAGAGCCAGGTCAAAAAAATGTACAGCATATGCCATTAGTAGATTCGAAAAAAAATTTACTATCACCACTGCATATCAAGTTAGGCCTAATGAAAAACTTTGTCAAGGCATTAGATAGAGATGGGTCAGCTTTTCAATACCTGCGTCAGAAATTTCCAAGACTAAGTGAGGCAAAGGTTAAAGAAGGTATTTTTGTTGGGCCACAGATTCGAAATATTTTGAAAGATACACAGTTTGAAAACACTTTAACAGGTATTGAAAAAACTGCTTAGAATGATTTCCGTCTGGTGGTCACTAATTTCTTGGGAAATAGAAAAGCTGACAACTATAAAACCCTTGTCAAAAATATGCTGTCATCGTATCAAAAGATGGGCTGTAATATGTCTCTTAAGATACATTTCCTACACTCACACCTGGACTTTTTTCCTGACAATTGCGGAGCCGTAAGTGATGAGCACGGCGAACGTTTTCATCAGGATATTTCAACAATGGAAAAAAGGTACCAGGGAAAGTAGAATCCTTCCATGCTTGCAGACTACTGTTGGACTCTTGGTAGAGATGCTCCAGAAACGATCCATAAAAGAACAGCAAAAAGACAGCGCATATAGTGATTCTTATAAGTATATGAATCTTGTTACTTTTTTTGATATATCCTTAATAATAAAAAGTTTTTTTTATAAACCGCAACTAATTTTTTTTATTTCATTGTCATTTTTGGATTCAGCGCCCCAAAATTAACAAAGAAGTGCACTTTTCCCACAAGATACAATTAAAAAACTAAAATTTGTTGTCCAGTGTTATGTAAGGTTTTTGGAGGTTATTAAAATTGATTTGTGAGTCACTAAAGACACCTTCTTGACTGTTCAAATTTACTTCATAAGATAATGCATGATGGAAATAGACTAATTCTACTGATCTGCCGTTACAAACTAAATACTAAATTTTATTTTGAAAGGTCTTGTAATATTTTTCATTTATCTTGATATCAGATTTAGATAAAGATTAGCTGTAAGTGCAGTCATGTAAACCCTCATAAGCCTTATAAAAAAAAATGAAAAAGAAGAATCAAATAATATGAAAATATGCTATTAGAAAATTTTGAATAACCATCATCTCGCGTTCGTGACTACTTTGTCTAAACTATCAAGTAAACGGAGATCTTTCTGACAGGTGACTTAATATTTTAGATGTTGCGGAGGTGCAAGTTTTAAAAGTTGAAAGTTTTTTCGACAGATTGCCCCATATCTCACCAATTTAAAAATAAAACCCTGTAGAATCCTATATCAAATTCCTCCATTAGGAAGGGCCTATCCAAATTTACAGTAAAATGTAGATCTATCCAATTAAAGAGGCCGCGTTTGGGTCACCGCGTAGTGCTAGAAATTAGAATATTTTCAGAGTACGGATTGTAATGTGTCTTTTTCTATCTTGTAAGTCCCTAGCTGAGTCGAACAGATAAAAAACAAATAAATAAACCATAACAAAAATACGTTTAATTTACTCACAACACACACATCTTAAAATCTAACTTAACAATATTATGTACAAGGCAGACGCATACTATACAAACATGACACATTTATGGTAACACTTGGAGTGATAAATACTATCGCAGTCGAACATCCAGACGGACAACCTTATGCCTTTCCTTGATTGGTCAATGCAGTATACTCAGTACGCTGTGTGTCGAATCAGCATTTCTTTCTGAGCGCTATAATTTTGACGAGAGCTCCCTAACTTGTCGGGGTCGATTGGTTTCTTACTGCAGTAGACAAATTTGGAAACAGCTTTATGGGTAACGAGGTACTTTTGGTGGTGTGATTATGGCTTTAGTCCCAGCCGCCTCCGTGACCGCCTCCGCCGCCTCCATAACCACCTCCGCCCCCGCTTCCTCCTCCATACCCACCTCCATGGCCTCCTAAAAGTAGAATGGTACAGAATAAATCAACGAAAGACAGGCAATCCGACATCTCTGATCATTTAGTAGAGCCTCTTTAAATAAATAAATAGCGTTTATTGCCCAACAGTTTAAGAAGTCATTTACAGAACAATCTAAAGAAAAGATAAAACAAACTAACAAAAATAGAAAACATTCGAAAGCAGGTGATTCTATCAAGGAAAAAGGAAACAAAAAAGATAGATATGGAATGTCAAGGTCTTTGTGAAGGGTGTCATTGGAGACATACTATGGGGCGTTACTGATTATACGCAAGGTTCTGATCTGCAAAACCTGCAGACTATGCACATGCGTTTTGGCGAGAAAACACCAAACCTACATAGCATAGGGTAGAGTTGCCGAAACGTGATTTGGAATTTAGTTTTTAACGCTTCAGTGTGCTTCTGCCGGTCATCCCCTTGTGAGAGTAACACCGAGTTACTTAGCAGAAGTTTCCCAGGATACCAAAGCTGTGTTTACTGAAACCTCAGGCGGGACGTTTTTCGGTACAATAGATGGCCTGCCTTTCCGAATGATTGATTTTGATCAGCCACCGGTTCGCCCATTGCAATACCTCCTTGGCCGTACTTTACAGCCTGTCGTGAACCAGATTTTCAGAACACGACTGGACCACCAAGGCAAAGCCACCAGCATAGAAATAAATTTCACAGATGCTGAGACAAGGAATGTCATGAAAAAAAAGTGAATAAAGGATTGGTCCACGAACCGAACCCTGAGAGGCACCCTATTTGACGGGCCGTGTTGTCGAGAGAACGCTATCAATTTTTATCTGGAATTTCCTTCTCTCAAGGAAGGATTTCAAAAAGTTTATAAACCAGAAGGGGAAGCCCTTTTGGATCCATTTGTAGAGGAGGGCCTTGTGCCTCACCCTGTCAAATACCTTTGAGACATCCAAAAGCAAGATGCCACTATTTTCGTTACGGGTAAATCCCCCGGTTACTCACTCAACAAGCCTAACCGTCTGTAACTTCGTTATATGCGCAGAACGAAAGCCAGATTGCTCGCGTGCACAGAAGGAGCTGACAAAAGAGTAATGGGAGGGTAATCCTGAGGGAAAATCGAACCCACATTCGTTGGAATTTTTATAACATCAGCAGCCGGCCACGCCTTGAGCATTGATTACTGCCATGATATAAGTTAAAAACTTTTAGGAAAGCAGCTTCAGCACCTTATTAAGGATTTGACCGTCACCAGGTGCTTTACGCACTTCGAGCTCTTTAATATGACCTTGGAGCTCTGCTGGTGTGCAATGAAGAATCTCAGGAGGTTACGCTGATGTTCCTAATATGCCTTAGTCACATTGTACATCTGTCTCCTATACAACAAATATAGCAACGGTACGTTTTACTATGCTTAGTGAAGTAGTATAATTATATGTATACGTATGTATCAGTGATGACCTACCCCACATCATATATTAAGTGCTTATAAGGATCAATAAAGTATCTGTCTGTCTTGGTTCTTGAACCGGATACATGTATATACTAACCTCCAAATCCGCCTCCTCCTCCTCCACCATGTCCTCCGCCTCCACCTCCTCCAAGATGGTCATGAATGACTCCTACGAAGCCACCGCCGCCTCCACCGCCTCCTCCGTAACCGCCTCCGCCTCCGCCTCCACCTCCGTATCCTCCTCCGCCATGATGATCATCGTGTCCTCCACCGAAGCCGCCTCCTCCTCCAAAACCACCTATGAAATTAAAATCAGAATTCTGACTTGCTGAAGTGGTATTATTAGGTAGAGTGTATTAGTTTGACACGAGACTTCTTTTGAGAGATGGTTTACACCACATGGCATGCGTGAACTCGCGAAATAGATACCATCAACTTCATAATCTCTCACGATTTTACTAATTCATGTTAATTGCTCTTGATGGCAAAACTTTCCAAGGCAGGTTGGTAATATCGTCGAATCAACTTACCTCCTCCGCCGTATCCTCCTCCACCACCACCGTGGTGATCGTCATGGCCTCCTCCAAATCCTCCGCCTCCTCCGAAACCGCCGCCGCCACCGTAACCTCCTCCTCCTCCTCCTCCGTGGTGATCATCGTGGCCTCCTCCAAGTCCACCACCTCCTCCAAATCCGCCTCCCCCGCCATAACCTCCTCCACCACCACCACCGTGATGGTCATCATGGCCTCCTCCAAACCCGCCTCCTCCGCCAAATCCGCCGCCTCCACCATAACCTCCCCCTCCACTATGATCATCGTGTCCACCTCCAAATCCTCCGCCTCCTCCAAATCCACCTCCGCCTCCATAACCACCACCTCCTCCTCCTCCATGATGATCATCATGTCCTCCTCCAAAACCGCCGCCTCCTCCAAATCCTCCGCCACCGCCGCCGCCGTAGGAGCTTAGACCGCCTCCACCGCCATGGTGATCATCGTGACCTCCTCCTCCTCCAAAACCACCTATTAAAAGAATAGATACGCCTTACAGAGTATTTTTAACTTGTTAGAGAAGCATCGGAAATCTTATTCAGAGAACGGACAACCATGAAACCATGAACGGGCGCGTTTATGGCCTCCTTGATTGTCATACTCCTTTCTCTCCTTCAAAAATTTCTAGATTACACTTGTCCCGTGTCAGCGTCAGCGCTCTCCTATGGTGAAGATATGTTTTCTTTTTAAATTGTAGAAAATTTCAGGCTGATAAAACATGATATAACTCAAAAGTAAGCACAATTTGATGCAAATAGATGTTTGTGACATAACCTCAAAATAGACATGGAGAAGTAGGAAACTATGACAATCAAGGAGGCCATAATGGCGCCCTACAATTGTAGGGACGACTGACGATACGGGCCTTAACATATATTATTTTCAAGTATGCTAAGGCCACAGCTTAGATCACAATCAGCTGCGCAACCCAGCTGTCAGTGTCATAAACGGCCGCCAGTTTGGCGGAGAAAATTGCATGTAAATTCCGCTAGTGCAACGATGGGCTTGCGGCTACAGATATTCTTTCGGAAAAATATTTAGCTTATTGTTATCTAAGCGGTGCTAAGGCCAACAAGAAGGCGTCTTAGTAGTAGCGAAGTACATAATGGATTGACTGGATCTAATGAATTTGGTCGATTTCTTTGAAGGTCACTAAAACTAGCAAAATAATAATTCGATTTGTGTGAGTGGGCTTCGAACTAGCATATTAAAACAAAAATGGTTCATAAATCACCGGGTTTAGCTAGAAAAACCTAATCAAGGAGGATTTGTGGCTCGACACATGAATCGAACCTGATATATAGATTGACTTGAAGCCATTTTATTGAAAATAACAGCGTCTCACTGTTGCATGACAAAATTCTGCTCAATAAATTATTTGAGGACATAAATTTCAGAATTACAATTACATAACTTGGAAAGTGACATTATGTAGGTTTTTTTGCGACACGATATAGGCTTCTACAAGGCGTCAACTTGGAACTGGATGTCGTGCACCTCGGAATGAAATATATGCACACTAGCCTACCTACTTAGTATATTAAACGCTAAGCAGTGCCTTTGATGATTTTGTCTAATATTTGTTATAGAAGAAGAAATCATTACGAACCTCCTCCTCCGAAACCGCCGCCGCCTCCGTATCCTCCTCCTCCTCCACCGTCATGGTGATCATCGTGACCTCCTCCAAAACCGCCTCCTCCTCCATATCCACCACCTCCGCCATAGCCTCCTCCACCTCCTCCATGGTGATCATCGTGGCCTCCTCCAAAACCTCCGCCTCCTGAAACGAGGAAGGGTGATTATTATAAACAGGCTCAAATTTTTCTAAAATGAAAGGTAACTAACTGGCATTTCTAACGAAAGGTTCCACACATACGACATACAAGATTCACTTTAGTTTCCACGGTTTTTGAGAAAATACCTAAACGACCATCGGTGACCATTATAGAATGGAAACTGATCTCTGAGGTTGAAGAAACCGGTATCGGATACTTTTAGAGGCGAAAAAACTCTATTCTATTCTGTTCAATACAGATGATATTACTTTTTCAAACACGAGCCTCCATCTGAGTTTTCATGTTCTTGCACAATATATTGTCGTTAATTTGAAGTATCGCGTGTTCCGTCCCTGAATTTCAAGTCTCACGTTATCTTATAAAGCCAGGAATTTTAAAAAATGTCCAAAATTTCAAGTACAATTATATTGACTTAAACCACTTAGTAGTTCCTTTAAAAAAATGGAAGCAAAGCGGTACTTTTCATTACTTATACTTCCAACTATCACAACTATTTACCGCAATTCTAATAAAATTTGACTGGACTATCAAGTGAATACAAACAAGAAAAACAATAAATCCATTTCGCGAGTTTCTCCGTTTGAACTTCCCATGACCTTTCATAAACCTGCCAGCCGCTGACTAATCACCTGCACACTGTTACGAGCGCATCTTCTGGTAGTCACGATGCTCAAAATCGGTGGGAACTTTCCATTTTCATCGATGCGATTATGTCACTTGGGAATCATTTTCACTTGCACTTTCTCACGTAGCGCTTATATACGCACGAAGAGGTACCAAGTGCATTACTGAAATTTACGAGCTGGGAGTGTCTATTGTTGAATTGTGCAGATACAAATACGGGAGTGTAAGTTACTACTATAGAAACATGCTCCATAGATCTTTGTTACCACCTTTTCAATGATTTTTTTTTTGAAAGAGGAGACCCTCTGCAATGAGCATGAGGAAACCCCAAAGCATCTCCTACGTCACTGCGAAGGCCTGGCGAGGCTACAGTTTCAGACAGTAGGAATCACAAATCCTACAGCGAAAAGCTACATGCAAAGTTCTCTGTCAAGGCTATGGAGTCTGATTAAATGATCAACTGGGAAGTAAACTCAACCAGTTTTATGGTTAGGCTTATGTCGTTGCTCTAGATATCACGGAAGAGTTCAATCAGCTGTAGCATGGTGTCTGCTTAATCTGTAAAAGGTCCATATAAGACCTAGCCTCGATAACTGCTCACATGTTGACTAAGCACAATCAGCTGAGGAAGTCTCTATAATCGACATAAACTGACACGTATACTAAGTGACATATAAATCCAAACACCCAGTTTAAATGGTTTTATTTTAATAAAAGTTGGTGAAGTGTATTTATCTTACTGTAAATAACAAGTGAAAAAATTTTCAGCCTTATCAGTTGGACATTCCGGTTTTTATACTGCTTTTTTTTAATTCACTAACGCTCTAAAAATGAATATTTCAGCCGCAGTAAAGAATCAACGTTGGCGGATTTTGGTTCTTGACATCCTTTAAGATCGGTTACGATGCCTAGAGTACGGAGACCTGTACGATTTCGTCAACTTAGTGAGTTTGATAGGGGCCGTATAGTGGGACTTCGGGAAGCTGGACTTTCTTTTCGGGCAATTGCAGTTAGAGTGCAAAGAAGTGTAGACACTGTGGTTAGGTGCTGTCAGGCATGGCTTCGAGAATGCCGTACGCAAAGAGCAAGGGGCACTGGACGCCGCCGTAGAACAACAGACCGTGAAGATCGCCGCCTAAGATTATTGGCCTTAAGGGACCGTTTCTTCACTACCAGGTCCATTGCAAATGAATGGTTTGCAGAACACGGAAGACCTATTGGCATGCGAAGTGTTTACCGACGAATGAGAAGTTTTGGCTTGTTTTCATACCGGCCACACTCGGTCCTCCCTTTAACTCGAGAACACCGACGTAATCTCCTTGAGTGCTGCAGACAACGGTCACTCTGGGATCAGGAATGGAACAGTATTGTCTTTAGTGATGAGTCTCGTTTTTGTTTAGGCATGCACGATGGTCGTGCCAGGGTTAGAAGGCGACGTGGTGAAAGGAGGAATCCACAGTTTTTTGTTGAAAGACATCTTCATCACACTGTTGGAGTTATGGTTTGGGGTGCTATAGCTTATGGTTCCAGGTCACCTTTAATCTTCATCAGAGGTAACATGAACGCGCTGCGTTATATCCACGAAGTTCTAGAACCCCATCTTTTACCCTATCTTGACACCCTGGCAGATCCAACTTTCCAGCAAGATAATGCCCGGCCACATGTTGCAAGAGTCACAATAGATTTGTTTCAACATAATGATGTCACATTGTTACCATGGCCACCAAGATCTCCCGACTTATCCCCAATTGAGCACGTGTGGGATATGATGGGTAGGAGATTGCTCAATTTGCAACGTCCTCCTCAGACTCTAGAAGCACTTCGAGAGGAGTTGGTGGTTGCCTGGAATGAGATACCACAGGAGGACATTGACCACCTGATCAGAAGCATGCCTTGGCGCATTGGCGAAAGCGTAGCACATCACGGTTAATTCACACATTATTAAAGGTCAAAGGGCTTTAAAGCAGTGCAATCATTTTGAAATTTTTATCATTTACTTATTATGCTTCATTAAGTACTTATACAAAATTTTATTAAAATAAAACCATTTAAACTGGGTGTTTGGATTTATATGTCACTTAGTATATTTGTGAATACGATGTGAGTAGGAAGAGTGCCTTGAGAAAGCCTGAGGAGGTAATAGGCTTTAATGCTATGATTTTGATTAATATACCACCAAAGGAAATTGATAAAAATCGATTTGGTCCAGTCAAAAGAGGTTTAGATGCTTTGTTCATTACAGTAACAAAGAAAGAGAACATGAAAATGAGCCCCATCCCGTGTGGAGAATAAAAAATAACTAGGATTTTCAAAATGGATTACCTCCATATCCTCCTCCGCCTCCGCCGCTAGGCAACGGGTCGCCTCCATGCAAGTGCAATACTTGACCGCCTCCATGTCCGCCCCCGTGCCCGCCCCCATGACCGCCTCCATGCCCATGTCCTCCATGTTTTCCTCCAGAGTTGAGGATCACCGTATACGACATGCCGCCTCCATGACCTCCTCCGTGACCTCCGCCGCCTCCGTATCCACCTCCGTATCCGCCACCCCCACCGAATCCGCCGCCTCCGTGGTGGTCGTCACCGCCGTGACCGCCTCCGCCACCAAAACCTACACGGAAAATTTCGGGATACAGATGTTTGTTAATTGCGCCTTTCCTAAATGTGTTAAACGTCCAAAAGCGACAAAGTTATGGTTAGATTCAATGAAACATAATTATCTATGTAATGCTTAAGGCTGTGAGTTTACTAACTAGGCCTTGTGAGTTGATCGGGTTCGAATCCCGCTCCAAGAGAATTTTTACTTGACTATTGATTATCGGTATCGTAGGTGGTAGACTGTCTCAAACCGTGGAGCGTGGAGGTACAACCCGGCGGTTCTTCGACATGACATGTGACATGCACACGACTTTCCCCTCTAGAGGCCGTTTGATGTCCCCCCTTGCCCCTGTATCCCAATATAGCGTCACAATATCTACAAGTATTTAGTCCTGCGTGGAGGCTCAAGTGTGAAAAACTGAATGTCACTATTGATCAAATATTTGTTTCACCGATTGCTGAGATTACGCGTGGAGAAGCGGAGAAGCTTTGGACTGATGGACAGACATTTACTTGTTTTAAGATCTACTATAAGGTCAAACTAGATTGGTGCCGCCGTTTCTTAGACTACGTATTTAGAGAATTAGCAACACAGACAGACCGATAGACTGATGGAAATGGGAGACAGGGCCCTTGGTGTTATAAGTAAATTGCATCTCCTAAACCCCCATCTGGACTCATTCTCGAGACTATTTTTCAAAAATAAGTGTAATCGTCAAAGAATCGACATATGTAAGTTGACTCCTAAAAAATATTTATAAGGCTAAGTCTTTGTTTTTCAAATGGCAGACAAGTTGATTAAATGATGTATATCAAGCCCAAAAAAAATATCGAACACTCGTGAACCGAATAAGAATAAAAGTGGTAAGAATTATTGATATTCGAATTAAATATCGTAAATTTAATTAACAAAATCCTTTCTCGATACTTACCACCACCGAAGCCTCCGCCTCCACCGCCTCCGTGGTGATCGTCATGACCTCCTCCTCCTCCAAAGCCACCCCCTCCTCCATATCCACCTCCTCCTCCATATCCACCACCTCCACCTCCTCCTCCTCCATGATGGTCATCGTGACCACCTCCACCTCCTCCGTCGCTCGGTAGGTGTACTTTTATATGAACACTGCAAATCAAGAGGTGGTTTAAAGTCTAGGCGCTTACTAATCATTTGAGCGACGAGTTAAGTAAAAACTGAATATTACCTATAATCATTGTTTAACCTGTTTTACCTGAAAATAACCAACCTAGTACTATATTCCGGCGTCCAAAAAATTATAAATATAAAATATAAATTTATATTAACATATAGCATACCTGTATATTTAATTTCAGCGCCATTTATGAGACACAAATCAAAGTAGATTTCTAATTTAACAGCTGTGATAAATTCTCATACGTTTACATTTCGCGAATATTGTATTAAGTTGGTTATCCTCAGGTAGAATACTTTCATCATTTAATAGAAAAAATATTCATGTCCAGTTTCTGTATTGCCAGAAGCATTACGCATAGTCCTTCATATTTCTCTGACAAATCGAAGAAATTTAAAAAATCTACGTTATTGTAAACCTTTTGGTCACAACGGTGACAATAGTACAGTACAATAATTTTGACAATATATTTTATTTATCTGTCGTCCAGGCGACACTTCGTTTGTTTTTTCTTTAAATTTTCATATTCCTATACAAGCTCTTTCTGCAATACTGTAAAAGATCCTATGGTAAGATAGCATTGGGATATTCGTTTTTTTTTTAATATACCATCGTTCTGAAGACACCAGAAGCCTTAAAAAAAACGCGAAAAGCCACCCAGAACTATTGTCGTTTCAAATAGATTTTTTTAACACACGAAATCGAAGCGAAATACCTGGGATTATTGACATGAAAACCACAGGATAACTTTAACGCATACTTAAATCTGAGGCGTTAAAAAGTTTTCCGGATACGTCAGTTTTTTTTTATACTCCAACTGCCACGAATGCCTAAGGCTTAAACATCCATTGTGTACCGTGGGGCTATGGGGGATACAGGGGTAAGGGGGAACGCCACACGGACTCGCGAGGGAACACGTGTGCATGCAAAATGCACACATTCTGGCTCCGCCTACGAGATCTGCCGGGTGGTACCTCCGCGTTCGACAGTCAGATACCGTCTACCACCTACGGACAATCACAACATCCATAGCAAGAGAAAAATTTCTAATGGGATGGGTTTCGAACCCGCACAGCGCACGGCGACTGATCAGCAGACCGAAGAGTCTACTACTGCGGCCACCGCTGCTGCCTGTTGTCAGATGTTATCATATTTCAAATACTAGTATTTTCGTTCCATTCTTTTAAATAGTTAAGCCTTGTCACTGTTTAAAAGGCAACATATCGATTTTACCGGCACATGTGAGTCTAAATTGAAATAGTATCAGTTATTTACATCATACAAGTAGCAACAAAATAACTAGCTCCTAACCAAATGAAATGCAAAAACTCAAAATGAATTGCAACACTATGGTTAGTCTCTCTAGTGGAAGTATGAAAATAATTGTGATAAAAATGTTTTTCAAGGAAAAATATATGTATGGAGGATCTACGGTGTCCAAATTCCATTGAAATCTATCAAGAAGTCGAAGAGTTATTCGCGTCTGTATTACCGTGTACCTGTAATACTCCAGTAACTGTAATTATTATTCATATCTATTTATACAGAAGAAACACTTACTGCTCTTTAAAGGTTGCTCTGCCGTGATGTACTAATGCCAGCACAAATAGTGCTACCTGTAATAAAATAAATAAGTGTTAAATAAGGCAATCTATTAAAAGCCATACCTTCATGAGCAGATAGTTGCCTAAAAAAATCTTACGCAGCAAATATGGCTAGAAGCTTTGCAAACATCAAGTAGAAAGAAAGAGGTGCCCATGCGCTCTAAAGATTTTTTGCGCGGGTTGATTACAAAATAACTTTTGAAAGCTATTCAGTGCCATGGAAGAAGCGTTCTTCAAACTTAAGATCATAAAAAGGATGGCATCAACTGACTCAAGTCAAGCTTCATCATGAAGCTTCCTACAAACCAATTGCTTATAAAAAGTTATTTGACAATATGAAATTGTGATTTAAAGTGTGATAAGCTCATAATCAAGTGTGTCTTTCCACCATCTCATTAGCCATTAATTGAATCTAAAAATAAAATAAAAAAACTATACTGACACAGTGTGATTTTTTTTTAAAAAGGCTGTCGTAGCATCCTCAAATTTTAGTTGTTGCCAAGAGAGAACATTTTCAACCATTTTTTAACTAGACAGTTTTCCACGTAACCCGGCACCACTGACATTAGCCCCTCACCAAAAAGCAAAAAAAAATCTCAAACTTACGCATAATTTGGAAGCCATGTCTGATGGCCTTCCAAGAGGACGCACGACACGGGCGGGTAATCAGTGCTGTAGTGCCAAATGTACCCCAAATCTTCATTTTATATGGCTGTGAAGATCTCGCGGCTCCGGAACAATTCAGCAAAGCCGACGGACACCGGAGTCGGCAGACAGTGGGGGAGAGGCTCACCGTATGGGGATCTCTTCTTCTGCCTGCTGAAGTGGAAGCAGTGGCGGACCACATGCTCGAGCGTAGGGCTAGTAACATTCGGTAGAATGTACGATTTTGAGTTACTAGACTTTTGCTGTGTTTCATGGATATACCAAAAGTGAGATCACTAAGAAATTTTAAGCCTTTTCAAGGTTTCTCGGGTATTTCCAAAAGTTTCAAGGACTTTCAAGCATCCTTAAGAATGTTTATAGAATTTCAAAAATGTTAAAAGATTTTTAAGTATTTTCAAAGTTTTTCAAGGTTTTCCAAGAATTCTTAAGGATTTTCAAGGAATACAGAGGACTTTAAAGGACTTTCAAGGATTTTCGGCGATTCTCAAAAGATATTCAAGAATCTAAACGTTATTCAAAGATCTACGATTTTCAAGTATTTTCAAGTATTTTCAGGGATTTTAAAGGATTTCAAAGATTTCCAATAATCTTCGAACATTTTCAAGGGTTTTAGAGGATTTTCACGAATTTTCGGGGATTTTCAAGAATATTCGATGATTTTCAAAGATTTTAAAAAATTTCAGATATTTTCAACGATTTTCAAAGGTTTGCAAAGACTTTCGAAGGTATTTTCAAACTCCTTCAGATGTCTTCAAGGATTTCCAAGGATTTCAAGGATTTTCAAGAATTTTCAAACTTATTCAAGAATCTTCAGCGATTGTCGAGGGTATTCAACGATTTTCTTGGATTTTCAAAGATCTTTAACGTTTTCGGGGATTTTCAAGCGTGTTCTAGAATGTTTAGGGATTTTCAAAGATTTCCAAGGATTTTAAAGCATTTTTAGAGCATTTCACAGATTTTCAAGAATTTTCAAGGGTGTTCAAGGAATTTCAAAAATTGCCAAGGATTTCTCATTACCATCAAGGATTTCTAATAATTTTCAAATATTTTCGAGGAGTACCAAGGATTTCCGAGAATTTTTGACAATCTTCGAGGATTTTTGAGGATTTTTAAAGATTTTTAAAAAATTTCAGATATTTTCAACGATTTTCAAAGGTTTGCAAAGACTTTCGAAGGTATTTTCAAACGCTTTCAGATGTCTTCAAGGATTTCCAAGGATTTCAAGGATTTTCAAGAATTTTCAAACTTATGCAAGGATCTTCAGAGATTGTCCAGGGTATTCAACGATTTTCATGGATTTTCAAAGATTTTTAACGTTTTCAAGGATTTTCAAGATTTTTCGGGGATTTTCAAGCGTGTTCTAGAATGTTTAGGGATTTTCAAAGATTTCCAAGGATTTTAAAGCATTTTATAGCATTTCACGGATTTTCAAGAATTTTCAAGGGTGTTCAAGAATTTTCAAAAATTGCCAAGGATTTCTCATTATCAAGGATTTCCAACAATTTTCAAATATTTTCGAGGAGTGCCAAGGATTTTCGAGGATTTTTGAGAATCTTCGAGGATTTTTGAGGATTTTTAAAGATTTTTAAAGAATTTCAGATATTTTCAACGATTTTCAAAGGTTTGCAAAGACTTTCGAAGGTATTTTCAAACGCTTTCAGATGTCTTCAAGGGTTTCCAAGGATTTCAAGGATTTTCAAGAATTTTCAAACTTATTCAAGGATCTTCAGAGATTGTCGAAGGTATTCAACGATTTTCATAAATTTTCAAAGATCTTTAACGTTTTCAAGGATTTTCAAGATTTTTCGGGGATTTTCAGGCGTGTTCTAGAATGTTTAGGGATTTTCAAAGATTTCCAAGGATTTTAAAGCATTTTAAAAGATTTTATAGCATTTCACGGATTTTCAAGAATTTTCAAGGGTGTTCAAGGATTTTCAAAAATTGCCAAGGATTTCTCATTATCAAGGATTTCCAACAATTTTCAAATATTTTCGAGGAGTACCAAGGATTTCCGAGAATTTTTGACAATCTTCGAGGATTTTTGAGGATTTTTAAAGATTTTTAAAAAATTTCAGATATTTTCAACGATTTTCAAAGGTTTGCAAAGACTTTCGAAGGTATTTTCAAACGCTTTCAGATGTCTTCAAGGATTTCCAAGGATTTCAAGGATTTTCAAGATATTTCAAACTTATTCAAGGATCTTCAGAGATTGTCGAGGGTATTCAACGATTTTCATGGATTTTCAAAGATCTTTAACGTTTTCAAGGATTTTCAAGATTCTTCGGGGATTTTCAAGTGTGCCCTAGAATGTTTAGGGATTTTCAAAGATTTCCAAGGATTTTAAAGCATTTTAAAAGATTTTATAGCATTTCACGGATTTTCAAGAATTTTCAAGGGTGTTCAAGAATTTTCAAAAATTGCCAAGGATTTCTCATTATCAACGATTTCCAATAATTTTCAAATATTTTCGAGGAGCACCAAGGATTTTCGAGGATTTTTGAGAATCTTCGAGGATTTTTGAGGATTCTTATTTTCAAAAGTTGTGGGGATTTGCAGAGATTTTTAAAAATTTCGACTGATTCAAGGTATTTACTCCACAAATATATAAAGAAATCTAATCGGGAATAGTCAGCGGTTAGTGTGTAGGACACTTTTGCAGTTTTAAACATCACACAACTTCACAGAGCAGAGTTACAACGAGATCAGGGGATGTTTGAGAGTATCCAGAAATCTTGAATGTCATAAAAAAATTTCCAAGCATTTTCAATAAAATCCAAGGAATCCGCGGATAACATTGGATGTAATCCAAGGATTGCTAAATAGATGCAATGAAATCTGAAGATGATGTAGGTGATGTTGATCCAAGGAAATTTCTGAGAATCCATAGATCTTCTAGGAAATCAAAAGATGGTTCAGGATTCTCAATGATTTGTCAGACTTTCAAAAGATTTCGATGGCTCTTGCTCGATTGATACCATATGGTGGAGAACTTTAACAGGTGTAAAGGATCACTATCTGCGAGAAGATATTGATTTCCCATACTAGGATCGGGGTTAGTTTTTTACAGACCTGGTTCCTTTATGAGCTATCTAAGGCGAAATGTCTCGATCTGCTTGTATTACTCTGATGAAAACATTCCTGGCCATCTAATGCTACTGCTACTTACTGACAACTTCGTCAGTACGGTCATTACATTGAAGTTCGACCGATACTGAGCACACATACATCAAAATGTAGCATGAGCTATCTTGATCAGCTTCACAGTTCGGTGCGCCGCCACTGTTTGCCAATTCCTCCTTCCACCTTCTGAAGAGCTGGTGATGCGGTTGGTAGTGGCCATGACCTAGAGCCGACGTCGGCGTCCATCGAGACGCGCGACGTCCGTCGCAAAGAGTGAAAGATAAACCGACGCCGTACCGCCGTTGTTCTCCGTTTCTCGGTACGGTTAAGTCACGATCACGTTCACTTTCTTTACCTTCCGGCAACCGGTGTCGCTGCCAATTTTGGTCACTTGCAGATATGGCAAGGGTCGCCGAACTGGAGGCCTCTTAACTCATACACTCTTTGATCTCGCTGAGACAGAAGTGAAGAAGTTTATTCTACGATATTGAACATCATATAAATATACACACTTGTATCTATGTACAGACTGTATCGAGGAATGTTTATCCAGTTAAAGAAAACCATGCAAGTACCACTTAAACCCTTGTACATACATCTCCTCCAGTGTTTTTTTTTATAATAAATTCATTTTCCATCAGACATGCATGAACATGTATAGGTTTCGTCAAAAAGATACAATAAGTAAATATGTACAAAGTAAATAAATAAAAAAACAAACAAATAACATCCAACAACAAACAAGTTAAAATTAGTGATAAAAAACGATATTTAAAAACTGACAAAGTCGCTAATTGCATAAAAACAGTTACTTATAAAGTAGCTTTTCAGCTCATATTTGAATTGGCCTATTGAGGTGATCCTGTTTATGGAGTCAGGCAGGTTGTTAAAAATTTTAGGACCTAAAATACATGGTGATCTGCTGCCTAACTTATAACGCGCAAAAGGTATATGGATGTCGTTTTGTCTGCGAGTGCCCATTTGATGTATATGACTATTCAAGGTGAAATCATCTTTGTTTAAAAAAGTATAGATAGCCATATTGTAGAGAAAAAGCGAAGGCAGTGTCATTATTTTTAATCTCTTGAATAATTATCTGCAACTATAAGTGCTGCTTACTCCCACCAGCCGTCTTTACTTAGGAACACCTTAGAAGCGTTCACCGATGAACCCCAGAAGCACAAAGCATACAGCATGCGAGACTCAACCTGACCATGATACAACATCAATAGCTGATTTTCTGTAAAAACAGATCTCAGGTTCTTGAATAAATATGCTTGTGAATTTATTTTTGATGACAGATAATCGCAATGTCCTTTAAGGTTGAGACATTGGTCTAAGTGGAGCCCTAAAAACTTAGTGCCTTTATCACTCTGCAGTGCTGAACCGTTCAGGACAAGCTGAATCGCTGGTATCGACATTTGAATGTTATGGAACCTTATAACTGGAGAAGGACCATCTATATCATTTAAAGCCATTACAGGTGGTGATAATGGAACCCAGTACAGCTTACGTTACATTAGGGATATAAGACCAAAGCTCTCAATGTAATCGTTGATGCCCAGATGCTTACATTTTTTACCTTATTTATCCCATATGATGGTGGTTCAGAAAATTGTGGCAATATTTCTTGTCCAAAAGCAACTCTCGTAAATATGCCTCCTTATCGACATACATGGTGTTGGAGTTCTGATTTGAAAATATGCATCTTAGGAGTGACAGTATATTGACTTGTACAAGTAGCACTGACAGAATAGCCAATACATGCAAAATACTGCCTGAGACTACAGCAATGGCTGAGAAATTGAGAAATTTTGATGCTTATTGAAGAAGAAAGAAAAGTATTTTATACACCACTGACCTTTTCGAAATTTTTATATTCGA